GAAGGATGGGTAGCTAGGGGTCATTGGACAAAATTCTACGTGCTCACGGACCGGTCTTTAGTAATGCTGATTAAACTTTACTCACTTGGCTCCGCGCATGTCGTGCTGTATCTTGGCGAGGTCGCGGCGCGAGAAGGCGTCGCTTTGCTCCAGCACCGTGATGACGTGCTCGGGAGTGGACAGGTTGGGCACGTGCAGCACGCCAGTAAACGCTGATAGCACCTCCATGTCTTCTAGCACTTGTCTGTTGTTAACAGAATAGAAAAACATTTGTTGTACTCACAAAGGACTCGCAAAAAATACATATAACAATAAACATACAGATGGCGCAACAAGAAAGTACTTTCGTGCCAAAACATTTCGTTGAAATTTTGTGACGCGCCGCGCAGCGACGCTCAAATTTAATTAAAGGACTTCCCCACTTTTGAATGTCGTCGCCTGCGCAGCGTTAACGCAATTCTACGATGACCAAAGCGAAGTTGAGAGGTTTGCGTTACTGTTCCAAAAAAGCCTAGTGCTTCGTAACGCCGNTAACGCCGAGTCGATAACGCTGCACCGGCGCTGGCAAGAAGACGACGCTCGAAAGACACTAATGTGAGATCTCGTACTACTACACTCATGTATGGGATATACGTATATTGCTCCTACACTTGTCTATGGGGAATTACTTCTAAGCGCTAATAGGGCCCAAAAGGTAAAGACAACGGGTTACCTGTCATAAGAGCCAAAATATTATCTAATCTAAATGATATAACTGGTAATTTCTCCAACATACCTGCGGCTGCTAGTGCACAGAATGAGCAGCTTCCGTCCTTTTGGCGGCTGCTTCTTCAATAACACCAGTAGAGCCTGCAGCGTCAAGTTGGAGTACCGCGGCCCGATGGGCCCGTAGTCCAACAGCCGCTCGATGTTGTCCACGAGAATACAGGATAAAGTCGAGCGGTAGGCGTCGTCGAAGTACTGTGGAGAAATACAGATTCAGTTGATATAATGGTACTTCGTGTAGTTCCCGAAGAGCAGCGACTACCACCTCTACCCGTGGATAACTTTGAGGAAACTAAGAGCGCTTTCACATTTAGGCGATTTAGCAGTGCGACAAACGCGCGACTGACGCGCTGCCGAAAATTTCATACTATGTGTGTAACCCTTAATTTTTTTTTATTTAAAAAAAATATTTTTATTAGAATTTTGACTAGGCTGAATGAGATATTATCTTTGCCTGCGTCGAAGGTATTCTTTAAAAATAGGTGACGTGAGGTCATTTTCAGCGGATGCATGCCTTCACATTATAAGAACGCCGCTGCCGCGCTACTAACGCCCTAATGTGAAAGCGCTCTATTTCTTATATGCGCTAACATCAAGCCTCTCCAGCATAAGGACTGTATGCTAGATCCTCCATTTACCTCGTGCCATCGTGTTCCTGCAGTCGATACTTTAGGCTGCGTTTCCATCAGAGATGTGCGAGGATGCGTAGCGAGGGATGTGTTTGTAAAGAACCAATAGAATCGCTTCATATACCGAGGCGAGATAAATGTAGCGACGAGTGACGCAAAATAAAGGCCTTATGATGATGACTAGTTGAAACTAATAATGCAAAACTAACGGAATTGATAAAAAACCCATAAAACTCATTTATTTCTGTAAATAGGCTTAAAAAAAGCACTTTTACATATATTGCTTATATGCTGCTGATAAGAGAAATACTGTCAACGTCACATCAGTCAAGACTTTAAACTTTTCTGTAAAATAGCACTTAGGTATTGCCGCTACACAAGATGCCTGAATATTGACTATCGTCTAGTTATCTTACCTTCCTAATCTGCAAGCACTTGGCGGTCTCTGTAAAGCCGACCATGTCCTCAGGCGAGCACACTTTCACGAAGGGGAAGTCTGATAGCTTGGCTAGTTCTGCAGCGAGAGCCGTCTTGCCGCTGTTGGGAGGTCCTTCCAGAAGGACTGACACTAGGCCTGCGTGAGAGAATACTTGTCAATAACCTGCGAAATTGTGGCACATGATGCACATCACTAGGAAGAGGCGTTTATCTTAGTGTGGCTAATTGAAATTGTATAGGTATTGTTGGCGACAGACCTTTTTTATATGCGTTTTTTGTATTTTTTTCTTTTGGAATGTTTTTTATATTTTGACGCTTTGTTTTTTTTACTTTTTTACTTCAGTTGTTCATTAAACACCATTAGTCAAAGACGTGTTTCAATATAGTAAAAAGTGAACATCTCCAAATCAATTAAATATATTATATAGGTATAGTAACGGGCACACCCGGTGCCCAACAAATGGTCCTTCGCGGTAAGTACTAGCTTATTTACTTTATAGTGTTGCCTTCAATTTTCCCTATTATGCTTACTAGAAGCAAGAGGAAAATGGCTGAGCAAAGTGAGCAACCTACCGCTACTACTATGGAACCAATGAGTTCATGCTCGTCATCGGCTTTGCCGCAATTGCCCCACACGACACAACCATCATCCGCCTCGTGCCCTTCGGGCCGCTCAGGCCGTTCTAGCCGTTCCAGCGCCACCGTGGTGGCGCAGAAGCTCGCGGCGCAGGCCGAGCACGCACGCCGCGTCGCCGAGCTCGAGCGCGCTGTGTATATTTTGACGCTTTGTTTTTTTACTTTTTTACTTCAGTTGTTCATTAAACACCATTAGTCAAAGACGTGTTTCAATATAGTAAAAAGTGAACATCTCCAAATCAATTAAATATATTATATAGGTATAGTAACGGGCACACCCGGTGCCCAACAGGTATTGAAGAACGTAAGTTAGATAACGTAGACGAGGAATGGTTTCAAAATTCAACCCATCAGGGCAGGGGTTCCCAAAGTGTGCGCCGTAGAAAGTAAAGAGAGGCGTCTCGTGAGTCAATCCTTGCGTAGCGTTGGCGCTTGAAAACCGTTGATACCCTACCCCTCCCACGTCTTTACCCGCCCGTTTTTCGACTGTATCTTTTTCAAAGGGTACGCCGCGCGCCCCTTTAACACGAAATCACGAAATAAAAGTTGTCATTAGGTACATTGCAAACCCCTAAAATTTTCACATCTGGAAGAAAAATTATGCTACCGACACTAAGGATTTCTTTACATAAAAATCATAAGTTGGATGAGACTTCGGCAGTTGATGGATTAACAAACTTACCGCTAGCTTCAGTAGCCCTGGCCTGCTGGATATACAGCTGGCCGTCTTCCAGGAGCGACGATACTGGAGTGCCCCAGTTGATGATGCCCCGCGACAAGAAGTGCTCTAGGGCTTCGGCTGCTGTGCCGAAGGCCTGGTGATGGGAATGTGTCACTATTATAAGGGGTATAGAGCTTTAATTCCTATGGAACTTAAAGTACCTGATAATTGAATGACAAATTGATAGAGATACAGGGTGTTAGGTAAATGGGTATATGAGCCGACACTAGCCCATGTTAACATGGGCGTATAAATGGTATGGTGAAGTCAGAAAATTGATATCTTCATTTTAATTATTTTAATTTTCATACAAATCGGATTTACCTAACACCCTGTATACAAGTAATTGTTTCTAACAGTGTCGATTTTGTTGATATAAATGTCAATTTTTTATGACAGCAAACAAAATATAAAAGGTCGTACACAAATTTCATACATCGGTGAATCTTGATGATATTAGCTTTGCAGCTATAAGACTTTAGCTCTAACCTAGTCTATTACCGGTTCTTAAAATATAAAAATCAAAGATTCAGCACCTGCAGTCTTCTTGTCCTGTCTTGTCTCAAAATTGTATCCAAATAGAACACTAATGCCCGTCTTTGCCACCAATCCCTAATTTTTAAGTGACCATAACAGGATTTTTTTTCATAGGGGTCACTTAAAAATTAGGGATTGATTGTGAAAACGGGCATAAGTCTAAATAACACTTACAGGCTTGATATCGTTCTCCAGCGCGTGTATGAAGTCCATTCGCTCCACCATTAGCTTCTCCATGGCTTCAGGATCCACCTCCACCTTGCTTGACGCCTTGATAAGCCGGTTCATAGCAGTCGACTGGGCAGCACGCACCAGACCTTCTAATTCTGCACCGGAGAAGTTCTTCGTGAGGGCTGCTAGTTCCTGTGAAGAGATTTGGAAATATTATACTGTGGTTGTTGTTTGTGTGGATGCTTTTTAAGTGAGTGGTCGTAGGACGTATCTTACTCTTCTAGTTATCATAGTAAGTGTCAATCGTGTTCAGGATCTTTGTTAATGGCATTTTCGAAAACAATGTTGTCAACAGTTCTTTCATTCATCTTTCAATTCCTTTGTCAGAAAGGAAGAATTAAAAAGGTGTAGGAAAAGTAAAGAGCACAACTGATTGGAGGTGACGTAGTTTGATAAAAAACTTATGGGGGAAAAGTATTTTTATACAGTGAAAGTGTATATCAAATGACGATGACTGGTGTAGACATGAATTTAAGCATTGCCCCAAATAATAAGATGGCTTCCCAATAATGTTGAGTTTGTTTCAAGTTTTAAGAGGAAATTCATAAGACATCACTCACAGCTATACCAACCTTAGAGTCTACATCCTCAGCAATCTTCTTATATTCCCTCATCCGTTTAGTATGGATGTTCAAGATCTGTACGCGTCCATTCTCATCAGGTAGGCCGATCTCCATCTGCACTTCAAGACGGCCCGGTCGGAGTAAGGCCTCGTCAATCATATCGCGACGATTGGTCATGCCGATGACGAGGATGTTGTTGAGTTGATCCACACCTAGGGTAAAGAAAGGTTTAGCAATGAATCAGGCAGGTGACCTTACTTGGCGCTACATCAGCCAGACACAAGAAGGTTGAAATGCCTGATCTTTAACTGCCGAGAGACTAGAAAATCATGTTTGGGGCTCTTTGGTGACCCCCAATCGCGGATTTTAAATTTTAAAAGCTATTACAATGAGGGATTTCGCGAATGAAAGATCCGCTAGATGTCGGGATGTGGATGTGTGGTCTGACTGCTGCGTGATTGGTGGATTTTGACATATCTGTCAATGTCATGTCAAAAATAACGAATCATGCAGCATTTGGACCTCGCGTCTACGTATTGCGATCTGGCTGATTTTTCATACGCGAAAACCCTCAATGACATCTAAGTTACACCGATTTCTTATAAAGTACGGTCGAGAACACATTTTTGTTGCAAAGTTCATCTATTACAAATAAGATGAATATTTATGGTCGGTAGGTCAGAAAAGGGCGTAAACTGAAATCTAGTGAAAGAGAATACCTGAAAGAACTTATGATATAGAACTCACCATCGATCTTCGACAACAGCTGATTAACGACCGTATCGTGAACGCCTGTGTTGCCTCCCACAGATCCTCTGGCTTTGCAGATGGCGTCGATTTCGTCGAAGATGATGATGTGGAGACCACTGTTGGGGCCAGCCTGTAATTACATTTCGCATTAGCCAAATATTCTCCGACCAACATTTGGACAAACGTTTGAGAATTACATATTACATACCCTCTTTTCTTCTTCCTCAGCATCGGCGAAGAGCCGTCGAATGTTGGCCTCGCTCTCACCAACGTATTTGTCCAAGATTTGTGGACCGTTGACGATCTTTGGCTCCCGAGCGTTCAACATGTTACCGATTTGCCTCGCCATCAAAGTTTTACCCGTACCCGGTGGTCCGAAGAGCAAGATGCCTTTGACGTGCTTGCAACCTGTAACCCATTTACGACGTTAATGTTATATGTTTATGGCATAAATTCAAACAAGATAAATGGAGCATTTGTTACCTAACTGCTCGACTACTTCTGGCGGGAAGACACGTGAAGCAAAGGCTCGTCTGAAGATAGCATTGAATTCCCTGTCCAGACCACCGATGCCCATCTTTCCGAAGTCCCAATCGGGGTTTATAATGGACTGGCGTGGTTGCTTCCTGTAACATTTTGTTAATTAATACCCATTTATTGACCGAGCAGTAAGGGACTGCGCACATTATCGCCACTGGATTTTTGGGTGACAAATAATAACAGTTTTAAAGGTTGAATTTGCAATGTTAATATTTTGACCAGCCACGGCATTAGGACTACCGAAACAACAGCCTACATTGCAATTTCATTGCGGTCTCTAACTGATATTCGAATGAGGAAGCAATTTTTCAGAAGTATCGAAGTTTTTAAAATCCTGTTTGCTAGTTCTAAAAAAAAATATTTCAGTGTAATACCGAAATTGAAATAGTAATTTTTAATCTACCATCAGCTGTGCATTATTTTAATCATAAACTCTAGTGTTTTTGTTATGACGGCGTAATAGTGGCCAGTTGGTACGCCTTATCTGCCTTTAGGGACCTATTCTATTTATATGCACGCTGGAATAAGCTTTGTCTGCGCCGCGCTATTCGAGTTTTATCAACCTTTCACGCGCAAAAGATGTACGTGAAAATGCGGGAAGGACACAGGGTCAGACAGTCCTCTATCCAAATCTCTAGGGTAAAATAAGTATGTCTGTCTATTTTCTTCCAGACTTCCTTTATTCCTTGTTGTACTGACTTCATTAAATTCATTTGGTGTGTAATGAGTTAGGCACACATTTAATTATGGTGGTAATTTATCGATAAGTTCATTTATAGTGCCAATTTAACAATTTTATTTTTTTACCATCTTGATTCTCGTGAGTTAGGACGCACTGTTTTATGACCTATATGGACACACGCTTTTACTAGTTACACGCTAGTCTAGCAAGTTCGCGACAAGGGACTTCACGTCATGAAAGTTACATTCCGTACGCTAACAATCTCCTCCATGGCTGAAAGGATAATTTAATAGGTCATACAGTTCCACACAATATACAGTTACACAGAAACAGAGTGACTGACAGAGCCCGCAGAATCGCTAAAATCAAGTGGCAGTGGGCGGGGCACATAGCTCGAAGAGTTAATGGCCGCTGGGGCAGGAAAGTTCTTGAGTGGCGACCACAAGCCGGAAGAAGTAGCGTGGGCAGGCCTCCCACTAGGTGAACCGACGATCTGGTGAAGGCCGCTGGAGGTGCCTGAATGCGAGTGGCCCAGGACCGGTCTTTGTGGAAATCCTTGGGGGAGGCCTTTGTCCAGCAGTGGACGTCTTTCGGCTGAAACGAACGAACGAACGAACAGTTCCACTTACCCTTTAGCCTTGCCAACCAGGTTGAGAGAAGAGTTCTCGGCCTTATCGAACTGGATGCAAGCGTCGGGCAACAGCCGGCCCATCTTCACGCGGCGGGGTACCGCGTTCGCTGCACCAGCGGCCAATGCTTGGACGTCCACAGCTAGGATAAAAATTGATTTAAAAAAAGTAAATTTTAATGAACAGTTAAGTCCGCGCCAATAGGAGATCTCAATCATACAAATAGTAATCTAGAATTATTTGAATGTAACGGGAAAAGTGTTGCAATATAGCAAAACTCACGTACCCTGTCATTAAATACGATCAATCAGTACGGCTAGCACGAAAAACTTTCGAGTTCAAATCGTTTGCGTACTAGAATCGCCATCAAAAGATTTAGTAAGAAAACTACAACAGCGCCCTTGTGAACGTGTCGTAAAGTGAACTTAGTATGAGATGTGGTTGCACGAAACTCATTTTGAGAATCAAAATTGTCACTTTATCGTTTAATTCGAAGATTGAGTATCTAATTTTATCGAGTACGCAAACGATTCGAAGACGAAAATTGTTCATGCTAGAGGTACAGAACAAAATATCACTAACCTTCCAAGTTCTTCACGATCAGCGACAGGACTTTCTTATCTTGGAACGAGAAAGCCAACTGCTGTCCAACCGTGAACACTTGGTTGGAAAACTGGATCAAGAAGTCGCGCGCCATCTGCTCTGAGTCGTAGGGGTCCAGGGAAGTGCTGTAAGGGATCGATAGTAAATGACTATTGAAGCGATTAGATTTTGAACCTTCTATTGATGGGATTAGGTGCAGTATTAAAATACAGTGTAAGTATTTTTAGATATATTTTTTTCCTCTTTTTTATCTGCAATCAGCCAGCTGCTTCAGAAGCGAAATAGATTCATTAGATTAATCGAAAAACAATTCTTATTGTCTTATTAACAGTCTAAAACTTATACCATTATTAAGAATTTTTAATGGATGTTTGAACAGAAATACAAAAACAAAAAATCAAATACAACGCGCGGGAAGGTGCTGAGAGAAAACACATAGAAAAGTAATGATATGAAGATTTAAAAATCGATAAAGAGCTAAGCTAATGCACGCGGCGCATATCATATTAAACTTTAATCGAATTACGTTCACACTTACGTTTTCTTCAGCATGAAGTCTGCCTCTAAGGTCACGCTGCACAGGCATTCTGCGCTCTGAGGCTTGAACGGCTTTACATCTATAGGCTATTGAAGATAAAAACAACAATACAATAAACAAGACATTTTTTTTTTGTGGCTCGCACGGCTTGTGCATTTGCCAATGACGGGGTGTAAAGGTTGGGAAACGGATTTTAAAGGAAAATACCCGGAAAGAGCGAAAATTTTGAAGGATCAGGCAGGAATGCTCTTATTGTTATAACATACATACAAAATAAGGGAAAATTAGGACTACTATTATTGCCTAAGTTATGTAATGTTTATGTAACATAATGACTATATTGTCATGAGGTGCTGCAACATATTTTAATGATGTACAAATTAACAACTTTAGGCACTTTACAAATACATCACACAGGAAATATCTCTGATAACTAACCAAGTAATTAAGTGGCTATTTTAATTTTTCTGTTTAGATAATTAGAATGATTGTTGATTATTTATAACGAAATAAATACAGTATTCATTTATGACACCACTTTGACATAAAAACATTTCTAAAACATTACAACACACTAAATGACTCACTCGGTGTGATTAGTAAAAAAGATGCAAACAATGATATCATCTGCATAACATCATACTCCACTGTAATTTTAGGCAGTTTAAAATAAAAAAACCACATCAAGTGCTATAAGAAAAGAATGAAATATGAACATAAAATAAATCCTACCTGTCCAATAGATAAAGTAGCCCATTTTCTTTGAGGCGCCGAGAATCCAACTGTCCCACGATCAACACCACTATAGAACCGGACGCTAAAGGCGAAATGCTGGGAAGGACCTGTGGTCACTTCAATATGCCTGTGAAAAGATTTTTTGTATATTTTAATACACAAAATTTCTCAACCAATAATAGTTTTGAACTTTTAATTCCAAAAGTAACAAAACAATCATCTCAATTCTCAAACTTGATGAAATCCCTTGTATTGAATTTCAATTTGTGTCCCCAAAGTGGGTGGTGTACAATTCCATATTTTTTATATTTATTTATGTTAATGTAATAATTTTTAACATTAGACAAACAATTCTTTGATAAATCCCCTATAAAAATTTGTGCAAAAACATGGTGATTCAGCTCAAACACAAAGTTGCCCAATTTTGTGGTAATAGACCAATTCCTTTTTTGTAAATATGTATTGATTACTTGTATAAAAGTATAAAATTACTAATATCCAATTTTATGAAATAACTGTAAAACCATATAACAATCAGTAGTAGGACAGGGAATATTACAGTTGTTATTAGTAGAATTATATTTGATAACATAAAGTTATACACATTTAAGGATACTTGTGGATTTATTTAAGGATTTTTTTTGTGATGTGATGTAATACTGAACATATTATTTAGAAATTTGTTGAAAAAATACAAACAATACTTACTTTACATCACTGGGGAAATCATCTGGATTTATCAGGGCGCAGTTTGTAATGGCCAACTCGTCTGAAGGGCATTTTGCTGCCTTCATACGCTGCAACAAATATCAATTAAATTAATAATTAATTACAATAAGAACTTTATGAAACCGGAGTGAAATGAATATGGAAATAAACATAGAAATATATAAATAAATAAAATATATTCAAAGTGAATCCTTTTCCAGCATATTTTAATGGGCATAAGACAAATTGGATTTCTTTCAAGTAACAGAAGTAATTGTAAACAAATACTTACCATTGAAGACATTTTATTTAGCTAAATGCCCTGAAGCACTAGGTTTGACAAAAATGATTCACGTCGATGTTTTTGACATCAAACAGAATGTGGAGCCGTCACTCGGGCAACGAATGACTGCAGTGAATTTTCTTGTGCTGAAAAACCATTGGGCGAGCGATCAATACCTACTGTTTCGAGCATGCGCAGACCGGCGAAGATAACATTACATTATCTTTGAAGAACAATTGGAGTAAAATCGAGTTTTAAGCAAATAAAGCCTTATTGCCGCAGCATAAAGTCTATTCTTCACTATGTATCAAGTAGGTTTTTTATCAGTCCACAAAGTTGGTTTACATGGTATTTACAACTCTTTGGTTACTTCAATTAATTCAGAGCGGGACAACGCTATTCACACAAAAGAAGAGGAAGAAAGAGAAAGAGCGAATGAATACGATACGATACGATCGATGTAATAGAGTTTATCCGTAGCAAACATATCATCGTATCGAATGTACGTTGATGAACTAGTGCCATTTTGCCAGAAGTTTAGCTAAAAAGCCATCCTAGGTCCATTACAAAAACATTAAATATTTCATGTTTAGTTTTAGTCATCATAAAATTATTTTAAATATTTTTCAGCGTTTTCAAAGTTTAGTAAAAGGTCGAGTGAAAGTATTTTTTTCTGTTACGTATCTCTATTTATTTTTATGGTGGTAACCCCAAGAACAAATTTTACAAATGGCTGAAAAAGGTCTGTCTGAAATTGTGATTGTTTAGCGTTCACGATTTTACCATTTATTTGGGAACCTACTTCAGCCCTAAAGGATTAATAAAAAGTGATATTATGACGACAGCAGGTTTCATTTGTGCTTCAATCAATAGTTAAAAAGATTGACGTTCAACTAACCTCAATTTATTAGTAAAAATGGAGCTTCCGCAGCCACCGCAAGGTATGTGTTTTTGTAATTCCTAAAGCTTATCGTTTCAAATAAGTTCTGCAATTTGATTCGCAGCTGTGGATTGACTTAATTGTGATTTATTTTTAGATCAAGATCTTCGTAATATAATCGACAAACTCGCACAATTTGTCGCCCGAAATGGCCCGGAGTTCGAGAAGATGACCAAGAACAAACAAAAAAACAACCCGAAATTCAGCTTCCTGTACGGCGGAGAATACTTCAACTACTACCAGTACAAAGTGACCACAGAGCAAGCAAGTAAGCATTCATAAGTGACGATGGCTGAAATTGAATGTGTCGCGGTCGCGCCCGATCGCTGATTGCGTGTCGATATAACCGTTTCAAGTGAACCTCCGCTGTTTATAGTTCTAAAGCAATCCGCCGGTGGCCAGGTGGCACCCGCTCCGGCCGGGGCTTATATGGCACAGAACAGGCAATATGTAATGCCCCAACAGGCCGGCGCGTCGCCCGCAGCGCTGGGCCTGGCGGCGTCGATGGCGGCGGCGCCGGCGCTGCAGCAGTGGCTGGCGGCCAACTCGGCGCCCGCGCCCGCGCCGCACTCGCAACACGACGTCGACAACGTCAATGTCCAGATCAACATGCTAAAAGAGCAAATAACTCAATCGGAAAACAATCTCAATGCTCAGCACACGGTTAGTCTCTATTGCTAGGCTAGAGCTCACCATCGGACTTTGAAACGGAAATTTTATTTTGCTACACTGCAAAGATTCATGTTTCAAGTTGGATTAGGTGGTGGTGGTCAGGTGGTGAGCTCAAGCCTTATTTTATTTACTGATTTGTGTTTTTCTGCTCCTTGATTATTGAATGTATTGTCTTAGACTTGATTCTAACAAGAACCTGACGATCAATGAACTTTAATTTATGTGATTATGCTTTTGTTACTGCTTAATGTGTTTGTTACTTTTTGCACCATACTTTGTACTCTCATTTTGTTGTTTTATATGATGAGCTCATTGTGTCCTGCAGGAAAAAGACTTTCATATTATTATGCTTCATGTTTTTGGGAGCCAAAGCAATCCTTGTTTGCTTCCAATATGTCTGATTTATTCATTCATATTGAATATACCTTTAGAATAGTAGAGTGCAATAATGCAATAATATTTATTACTTGTAGCATGACCATTTTATAACTTGTAAACAAGATAATAATTATCACTTAGTCTCATGAGAAATACTTTTCACAGGATGTTTGAGAAGCTTTTCTACTATATTTCTTGATATTAAATGACAATGATATGTTTATGTAATCTGCTTTTATCATAATTAATTTCATGCATTTGATTTTATCGATACTCATACAATGATTTGGATGTTTATACCATTTTCCCAGCTATTTGTAAAAGATTTTATTATCAAAATCATATGTTTTTAGGTGTTAATTCAGCAGCAGCAGGCTAAAATCAATGAGCTAGTGAGCAAGGCGCAAGTGGAAAAAATCCAGATGATGGCCGAGGAGAATAAAATCAGTCTGCCTGAGCTGGACGGCATACTGCAGCCTATCATAGACACATGCACAAAAGACAGCATCTCTACAGGTATTGTAATAAAATTTATTTAAAGTTACACCTTACTTTTATTTTATTTTATTACTTAGTTTGATTGAATAAAAGGAAGCCTTTATTTATCCAATTAGCCAAATATATCTTTGATGATGATCAAAGCTTACATGACTCTGGTACTATTTTATCACCGGGCAAACTTTAAACTCCATCTACCATGTCCACACTCGACATTGTCGAAACAAGTATGCTCCAAATACGCAATATTAAAGCCAGTATTATAAATGAAACTTTTATTTAAAGGCTTATTCCACTATTCCCCGTTGACATTCCCCATTAAAGCCAAATTGGAGCTTATAATGGGGAACATGGAACTTTTTAGTTCATTAATCCCCATTACTTTAAAAATAAAATCCTAATATAACGGGGATTAATGAACTTTTTAGTTCATTATTCCCCATTATAAGCTCTAATTTGGCGTTAACAAATAGTTAACAAAAAGTTCACTAATCCCGTTGACTGGGATTGTCAACGGGGAATAGTGGAATAAGCCCTTTTAAAATGGTTTAAAACAGAGAGTTGCTGGACTTCTGATGTCATGTGATGATACAATCATAAGTTCATTCAGCATGGTTCTCATAAGATGTATGAAGGTTTTCAAATGATATTTCCATCAGGCAAAGGCTGGATATTGCAGCATGCCACGTCTCACGACGCGGGCAAGGTGATATCGCAGCACCTTCTGCGGAAAGTCACCCAGCCGGGCGCGCCGTTCTCGCAGAAGCTACACATCATCTACCTCGTCAACGACGTCCTACACCACTGGTTTGTACCTAAATCATCATTTATTAGTTGTTAGATTATCATGTCCAAACGTCAGGTTATGGTTTGTGTGCTAATCCCGATTTAAAACTTCTTTTTATCATTGTAATTAAAGTAACTAATATTTTTTGGGTTGGCATCACCTAAAATATATTTTTTTAATAGGTAATTGAATATTTTCTCATTAAAATTTTATCAATAAAATAATTTTCATGTTTCTTTCTATAAATGTAATAAAAAAATATTTTTTCACCTGTAATCACTGTTTATGTAAAACATTGTTTTTATGTGTACCACTTTGTCTGTTAACAAGCAGTCTCTTTGATACTGTTATTCCTAATTACAGTGCTCGCAAAAACGCAGAAGATTTGAAGAAAAATTTGGAAAATGTGGTGGTTCCAATGTTTTGCAATGCCAGTATAGGTAACATATTTATAATAATGATGTCAAGACATAGGTATCTTGTTGTTTGTGCATACTCATCTCTATTTAAAGTACTTTTTTAGAAAATCATCACCTGTGGTTTGCGCCGCCAGGTAACTTGCTTAGCGCCAGTTTGGCTGATACGACATCGGTTTAATTATTCTGCTGTTTCAGCCGTTACCGAAGAGCAGGAGGCTAAGCTTAACAAGCTGCTTCGGCTGTGGGAGTCCAAGTCGAATTATTTCGAGACCGCCGTTATAGAGAAAATGAAGAGCCCCACCAGCTCCTACCAAGAGTACCAGAACAACTTGATTGCTCAGCACTCCAACGCTATATCACATTTGACACAACAAACAAAAACCACATTCGAAAAGTATGTATTCTGAAGTTTATTTGAACTGAAATCATCTTACACCAATTACCAATGCCTTATTTTGTTTCCAGCTACCAAACTCAACATCAGGCTTTTGTGTCACACACAATGCAACAAATTCAGCAACTGGAAATGCAGAAGCGAGCTATCGAGATTCAGAACAGTCATGATAACGACAACATGCAGCAGCAAAATAACATGCAAAACTTCCAAAACAACAACTTCCATGGTGATCAGAACTTCTCGCAGATGGGAGGCTACGATCATAACTTTAGCTCCAATAATCAATACGGCAGCGAAAGTGGCGACAACTACCCATCTAATAACAGCATGACTGGCAATGATAACAGTTATGATAGTCAAACTTTCGATCAAATCACAAATCAGAAGAGAAATGATATAGAAGAGCCAGATTTGTCAAATCTTCCAAATGTCAATTTCTCCCAACCGCCACCTGGATTCAAGCCCAACGATAATTCAGCCCTGTTAGCATTCCAAAATGGTCTTCCAGACCTTAGTAAACCTCCTCCAGGCTTCCCTGCGTTCACGGAAATAAACAATGATGACCTTATGCCTTCTGTTCCCTATTTCGAGTTGCCTGCTGGTTTAATGGTTCCTCTTATCATGGTAAGTTCTTTCTTAACTAAATTTTTTGCTTGAAAACCAAACAACACCTAAAACATAAAGATGCACCTCAGCCGTATAAATATTAATTATCTGTGAATCGTGAAACCTCCACAGGACAGGCAATGCCTAGTGTGGAGGTCAGCCTTTTTGTATTATATTAGTTAACTAGCTGTGCCCGCGAAAACCCGTTTTCGCAGCATTTTTCATTATTGCTCTGCTCCTATTGATCGTAGTGTGATGTTGCATAGCCTATAGCCTTCCTCGATAAATGGGCTATCCAACACTGAAAGAATTTTTCAAATCGTACCAGTAGTTCCGGAGATTAGCGCGTTCATGTAAACAAACAAACTCTTCAGCTTTATAATATTAGTATAGATCTGGCAATAAATATTTTCATTTTTTCTTTCTTAAATCGACATATCGATCAGATATCATGCGCTTATTAGTGATGCGATATAATAATGATGCATTAGTCTTTTACAGAACTTCTTCCTCTATTGAAAACCAATGAAAAGTTTCTCAAAGAAGTTTAACTACTCGTGTTTTTACAGTTGGAAGACGACCGGTATAGGCCCCTGGACCCGGCACGAATCCGGCTGCCGCCGCCTGCGCCGCCTAACGAACGGCTGCTGGCTGCTGTCGACGCCTTCTACGCCGCACCCAACCACGAGAGGCCTAGAGATAAGTACGTGCCTTTTATAGATCCTTTAGAGTAGGCGCACACCGTTGATTTTTCGTCGGCCGATTGTTTAGTCGGGCAGTTGATCAGTATGGGCATGTATAGGAGTGCGCACACTACGCCGATTCGATTTGGCCGATTCTTCATACAATTTGAAATCGGGCACAACTATTGGCCAACTAAAAATCAACGGTGTGCGCCTACTCTTATTTTAATAAGAACTACTACTACTTATTTTAATAAGAACTACTCTTATTTTATAAACTAATGTAAAATTTTGGGGCTAATAAGTACTTAACAATTTTTGTTGCAAAAAGTGGGTACGCTTAGATATCTTTGTAATGAATGTCTACTCTTCATTGGTTTTGAAATAGATTTGCGCCAGATACAAAAATTTTCATTTTCAACCTATTTGTAGGACTTATTTTGTTGCCTAATGAAATGTGTATTTTATTAAAGGTCAGTCGTCGAGCAGATAGAATTTATTCCAATGCAATATAATTACGCGCGAGCGATAAGGGTAGCTTGGGGTCATTGGACGAAATTCTATCTGCTCGGCGACCGGACTTTAGATCTACTGTCGCAGGTCAACTGTTCAAATTAATATTTGCTAACTAACAACAACTTACATACCCACTTCAGTCTGTGATCTAATTTGTGTATTCATTTTGGTGTTTTCCATTTCAGTGAGGGATGGGAGAAATTAGGATTATATGAATATTACAAAGCCAAAAACTCGGCGAGGAAAAACAAAGAAGAGGCAGTTGCGCAGGGGCTCAGGGAAAGGTCAAAGTCTCCGAGCCCCATCCCCAAAGACTTACAAAAACAACCCACCCCGCCTGGCAGACGATACAGGTAAATATACAGTTACCACAAATTCATTGTCTTTATTATTATTATAACCTGACATAATTTAATAAAAAAAACAACTTGGCATTAGGCAGGTATTCTTATCTGAAGTAATACTAAAAGCTTACAGTAGTTCAAGTAAGTTAGAATCAAATATTAGACTTTTCTTTCTAGTTTCGTTGTAGGTAAGATAATATAAAACTGTAAAATAATGCATAAAAGGACTCTACCAAAACTTGACAAACGTAAATCTTTACATTCATATAATTTTCTTTCTGTTGATATTTACTTTTACCACCGAAATTTGGGATGTCTTGGGTATGAGAAAAGTTGTATAAAAATGCTGTTTCTGAATTTATATGTGCATGACTAATACTAATAACTCATATTCACGAATTGTGCCAATTTCAGGAGTAAAAGGTCTGTTGATTTTTACTATTACAATGTTCTATTTTTGTTGATATTGCACGTTTACGTATACAGCTATGCCCGCTTGTCGTAGTGATCATTTTAGACGTTGGATTGTTTTGTAATAACGACCTTATTCGTTTGGTGTTTAGGTCGAAAAGTCGAACGCCAGAGAAACGGTCGCCAGCTCGCTCAAAGTCGCGGTCGCCGTCGCCGCGCCGCAAAGCAGCAGCGGCAACCTCGGCAACCACTTGGAGACGAGAAAGAGACGGTAAGTCACGGGTTGATACGGATTTTTATAATATTAGCTACTGTAAGCTGGTACATCTGAGGTAAATGATTTCCATTTGCATTAGTATCCTGTGAATTCCTAAAATTACTTATAAATCAATTTAGTTAGAAACTTATTTTGTATTTTTTTTCCTAAAAATTGTTACTTGCACTAAAAGCTAGTGATTTACTCTCCTAGATAACTTATGGACCTCTAGACAAAGTAAAATTCGTGCCAGATTGAATTTCCTGATCGCTTCGCTACGTTAATGTGCCAAAGGCCCGATTCGACCAAACTTATCCGTGAATAACTCCTGGCACACTGACAGTTTCAGTATGGGAAATATGTCAAAATGTCGAATAACTGACTGAGATTAAAATTTACTCTTGTATGATCGAATCCACCCTAAATTAGGTAAAAACGGCAGATCTAATGCCTATGAATTAGGCCCAGACCAGACAGTGAAAGGCAACTGCAACGAAACTGCAACTGCTAGTTACTTTTGAGTTGCATCTAAGTTTCTGCCATAGCATCCGTTGAGAGACCACACATGACGACCAGCTTGAAACTTTCAGTTTCATTCATCAGTTGCAGTGTCGTTGCAGTTGCGTTTCACCGTCTGTTCTGGGCCTTAGCGAGTTGATCACAAATGTCACAGCTCCACAGCACAAAATTTGGAGCTTCTCAAAAATCCGCAGGTCAACACCACACGACCATATTATAAATAATGTCCTCCCCACAGGCCGCAGAAGATCACGGTCGCGGTCGCGGTCGCGGTCGAGGTCGCGCAGCCGGTCGCCGCGGGAGCGCCACCGCGAGTCGCCGCGATCGCGCCGCGTCGAGCGCTCGCGGTCGCCCACGCCCCCTAGTTTCCTGTGAGTTGAGCATTTTATTTATACTAGCCTAAAACTTAAGCTATGTAGGTAGTAGTAGGCTAATAGGGCAAAAAAAATGAAACATGTATAGGCTCCTTAAGAGGGCTTATTCCACTAATACCCGTTGACAATCCCCGAGCATTTGACGATTTGTAAGTAATAATTAAATTAGTCCACACAAATAAAGATAATTTTATTTTTATGCTCTTTCTATTATAGTGATGCTATTTCAGTTACTAAAGATCGCGCCAATAGAAACATTGATACCACAGAGCTAGGTATCAAGTAATAAGATTGCACTATGTGAAATTTCAAGGACATGAGACAGTTCAATCTCTCTTGAGGGGATCTTGATCAGTTTCTATTGGCACGGACACATGTTGATATAATCGCAAATATTACTGCCGTTTAACTTTGTTATGAATTTGTATCTATCGATTGACACAGTCTTATTAATTCCAAGCATTCTTTTCTGTTTATGAGGTAATTAAACATACTCTTTTATTTTAATTACCTAGGTAATGAAGTAAATTTTTCAAGAAGCTAATGTTACCTCATTTTACAGTGGTGGTGCAGCTTATCCCAGTACATCCAGCGGCCTGGACCCCAGCAACAAGGGCCACCAGCTGCTTCAGAAGATGGGCTGGAGCGCCGGCGGGCTGGGCGCGGCCGGGCAGGGCATAGCCGAGCCAATCAGCGGAGGCACAGTTAGGGATAAGCAGGATCAATATAAAGGTAACTACTAGATCCTATGATAGTCCTATATTTATTTGAATAGATTAGTTTTTCTCTCTGAAAAGACTAGCCTATTCCTCTTGATGACAAGTTGTCATTCCATTTGTCGATTCTTGTTGGCTATTGATTTAAATTAAAATTTATACAACTATTTAACTACTAAACCTATGGCATTGTGACTCGACTTTTAGTACACATAAAGCAAATACTTCTTAGTCACTAGAAAAGATTCTAAAAAGTTAACTTCTTCACTTCCTTCTTCTAGCCTTATCTGTAATATACTGTTAGACATTATACTTATTATTTTTTATTTCAGGTATAGGCGTAAACTTAAATGACCCCTATGAAAACTTCAGAAAGAACAAAGGTGCAGCATTTATTACGAGGATGAAGGAAAGAGCACTGGAGCGTTCATCGTGATCGCTGATATTATGTTGTGTAAATGTGTACAATGAAAGTGTGTGGATGGGTATGATTTATTTTATCTAAATCATCTTAAAAATAAAGTTATATGAATTTTTTTTTATGGTTTTATTGAAAAGGCACTTAGAAAATAAATTAATATAATGTTATAGCACAATACAAATAAAAGTTAATTAAGCTTAATTACTGTATTTAAAGTTCAAAGTCATCTTCATAATTATCTTTGAATTCAGCCAATTTGTCCAAACTCTCTTTATAATCTGCAGCCTCCAATCCTTCCTGTCTGAATTTGTGTAATTTTGCAAACTGAATTCTGCTGACCTCTCTGTGTACTTTCTCAATCGTATCGGCCATAAAATTGCCATTATGGTAGCCTGCCACAACAGCACAACTTTCGATTCTCTCTTGTGAACTATCACTTGCTACAAAACCATACTTGTTTAGATCTTTCGAGAAAAATTGTGGATATGGTGTTTTTAACTCAAAGGGCTGCTCACAAACAGTAACATTTGTTGCTGATAAGAAGTTGCTTGCTTGGAAATAAAGTTCAAACATTTCTTTGACACTGTTGCATCGGTATGCCGGTAAATTCATTTGCTCTTTGGCTTCCTTCAGTGGTGCTTTCAAATAGCTTTCTGGTATCCCTCTGACTGTGATCAACTGGAACAGTTTGTCTGATGCAATCTTACAACTGGGTGTTAGGGATGTATAAATAGGTTTAGTTGTATTGTTCAGAAAATCAATCAGGTATTGTGATTCATTCAATGCAAATGGCATGCCAAGGGAAGCTGCTGCCATTTTCCTTCCATACCCAGTCATATCTGCACAGATATCAGACATGGTATGAATGTTGCTTTTATGTCTGTATTTCTGACTAAGAGTATCAATAGCTGTGGCCAATAATGCTGAGGAGTGGTAGTAAAGCTGTGGGTTGTAGTTAATGTATTCAAAAGATCTTGGGTTTCCTGGTTTTCTCCATCCTTTTTCACTGGTACACAAAGGTACAAATAATGTGGCATGTTCAGATAATGCTTGCAGAGAAAGAGCAAGATTTACCAGCCTAGTTGAGTCTTTTAAATTAGATTTATCTCTTTCTTCTTGTGTGCTAGGATTATTATCAGGAAAGTATGATGGAATGATAGGATAAGCTACAATAGGCTTGGTATATTCATCTGCCAAATATTCAATGCAACCCATTGCCATTCCAGAAAATCCATCAATACAGTCAAAATTAACTTGGAACCCTTGCATGCTATCACATTCCTCTACATATTTTCTAATATTATCACTGAATGTGTCGCCAAAGTCGTGTTTCCATAATGCGGTGCCAGAGTTATAAATGTCAAATCCTTCCTGTAAATAAAGAAAGAAACTGATGAATTAAACTTTAAAATGAAAGGTTTTTTTTGTAAAATATATAGGTTAAAATAAATATACATACGTTTTCATCGCCATGGTTGTATTCTTTGATAACATTGACTGAACGGGAATGTAAGCGAGGATAAATAAAATCGGTCCAGGTTTTGACTTCTTCTTCAAAGTTATAAGTTTTCTCTGCAGCTGCTGGTCCTTCTGAATCAATATCAACTAAATACTGATTCTTTTGAGGAGCTGGTTCTTCAACTTTGTCAACATTTTCCCACTCTAGGTGGTCCGGATCGCTTTCCTCAGGTAATCCGCCACTCACTGGCAGGGTTTTCAGAGAACCTTTCAAGTCCGCCAAAAGGAGCCTCGGTGTGTAAGTAGTTTCTCCTTTACCATTTTCCCCTTCGCGGTATAAAATATCATGATTAACTTCAGTTTTTTTAAGGCCTGTATAGTCAAAGCTAAGCTCTTGTGTATTCCAGAAGTGAGCACCAATATAATTCGTATAGTGACCAAATTGAAGAGTTAATATCTCACGAGTAGCCATTGTGACAGAGTAAGGGAATATTTGTAACTCATTGATTATTTATTCCGTAAAATGAATTAGCACCAATGGTAAACAAATCAATTTTACACAAGTTCAGTGACAATGAGTTTGACAATTAAAAAGTGAGGTTATATCACAGATTATTACACCTTAAAAAAAATTGCACTCGTACCACCATCGTATCGTCATCGTATTAGTAAGGAAGGAATAAATTAATTCCTTCATGATTCTGCATCTACCTGCATCAATGGAGAAGACACAGGAGAAGTCTTTGTCAGTCAGGAGGAGTTCCTGGTTTCCCAGGTTCATATTCCCATGCTTAGATTAATCTAAGTTCTCATGTCTATTTAAAACATAATAAAAGACGATCGAATTTTATTTAGCACAATATACTACATTTCAACTTACGTTTGTAGTACTTACATAGGTTCTTCTTCTATTGTACAAAAGTAATTAATTATGCTGCGCTATCCGTAACAAATGTTCAATGATTGTACTTAACATTTCAGTAATTTGAAAAAGATAGTCAACGGAAAATCGTGTGGCAGGGAAGTGGCAAATCTTAAGTAGCCACACTGGCACACACAACGAATTTTGAAAGTACTGGACCGATTCTGATGTTGCTAAGACATTCCACACTATAACGTCTTGGTCTCTTGAGTATAGGGTCCTACCTCAGTATTCTTTGGTCGTGGTGACGATACCGACTGATGAAAAATGAAAATACTTTTATTAAATAAACACTTTACAATTACAAGATATGTGCCGCTCTCGTATAAGGTTAACCTGTGTAACGAGAGTCAGGCTCCTCCTCAAAAAAACATAAGACTAAAAGTTAGTCTAATGATGGTTTCAGCTTTGCTTAAATATTCATTTTTTTTACAAATTGGACATCATGGAACTATTAAAATAAAACTATGTTTATGTTGCATTTATTCAATTTATGTTTATTACAAAAATGTTATTAAAAATCATCAACTTAGTTTCCTTATTTCTAATACAGAATACAGACTAATTAGAACTAAAACTATTTTCCGAACTTACTACTAGTTTTATTTTTACATGAATGGAAATACTGGCAGTGGAAAAATACAATAATTAGGTACTAACCGGACACACGGAACGGATAGAAGTAATTATTCAGCCGATAAATTGGAGATATTATGTTTATAGTCATTATTATTATCAGCTATGGCTTACTGGGTATATTAAAATCATTGTATGGATGACGCACGTATCACAGCAAACGTACATAGTTTGAACTTGATGTTACAGTTTTATAGTACCTAATTAATTTCTAATGGGAGCTACAACGTTTATATTTTTTGCTACTTTCACTAAGAAGTTCATGTACATCTATTACTGCAAAAAGCGGTCATTTTTTTTGTTAAGGTGTAATAACCACTTACAAGTAAGAAATTCCAATATTAATACCGGCTTATATAGTATGCGTATAGCATTTTGTTAGCTCTCCAAATGCCATACTTAACAATACTTTAATATTAATATTACAATTACTACGACGACAGATTCATTACAAAAAAATAAGTTTTTATTTTATTTACACAATTGCACTGTAATATAAAACAAAATAAGAAGTATACAAAAAGCACCTAATTTTAGTTGCCTGTAAACATTTGTTAGCCATGTCATGTCTGTAATATAAATCTAACTGGTTTCTATGGAGAATAAATTCACCATATACATGGTTGTAGTCAGACAAATACCTTACAATATATAAAAACCCGATATAAAGTTTAGGCTAAGAAACAATACAAATATTGTCCTGACAGTTAACCCGGTCGGTGCCAAGTGTTTCTAGAGCCGGTAAGCACCGATACGTTATAATTATAACTAAATTCTAGGCAAAATAGGTGACACGATAATATTATTCTAGTACTAAGTTCAGGAGCCTAGGTGGCAGTTGGGTTAACGTCGTAGCAATCAAGCATTGGACAAAAGACACACACATTAGGAGTATGTACTCGGGAGCCTAAGCGCGTGTGTTGACGGGCCGGTTTCTATCCGGTGACGCGCCGGGCGTACGTGTTCACGAGCCGGTTTTTACCCGGCGCGGCGCGTTCGGCTCGATGACACGACCATGAAGCTAAAGATACACGACTCGCGCAGTCTCTACACCCGGTGCCGGACCGGGTAGAAACCGGGCCCGTCAACACACGCCATCATAACTTTACATTCATGGCGTAAACATACTAACTTATCTCTAGATTATAACCGACATTTAGAATTTTTATCTATCAATTGCTCAGTTTCAACTACAACACTAATTACCCTAATTATTCTTCAATGAAGACAAATTGATTTATTTTTAGTGACAAATATTGCAGAAATAGGAGTTGTCTCTTTTACACTAACTAAATCACTCGCTCTTAAATTGATTTCATGGTAATGGTGCGTTACACTCATAGTAAATTCCATATCACAGTTTCATCTAATCTAAATGATTACAAGTTTTCTACAATTTTGATTATTTATTTAAGTTCATTGAAAATTACAGGCAATGGATTAGGAAAAATAAACTTAATATAATTTCATACTAATGACATTTAAATGATCAGTTAATCGCCTTAACTTCATAGAAGTGGAAGATAGGACATTCGTGACTCAGTGTCAATAGGGCTAATACTAAATTTAATTGTTAGGGACCCTACGAAAAACAATTCATGATTTTAAACATCTAAAATTCGAATAATTCCTAAGCTTACGCTAAGTGTTGACTTTAGTTTGACATAAACACCACATTCGAGAGATCTACCACACACAACCGACTTAACATTATTATTCCCTGGTTAATATTAATGTACTACAATAAACACCAGTTTTTATAACGGATGAAATACTTTATGTAGTTCCAAAATGTTGACATTAAATTTTTACTCTTTTAAAATACATACAACATGAAACAAATGTGTAAACTTAGAGAGACCACTTACATGAACTGAATTTGATTTAAATGAAATGAAACTAATGTTCAACCCTCATTGAACAATCAAGTTATAGACACAATTTGTTTGAATCCCAACGCAGCCGTTGTTTGGCTGGGACTATTTCATTCATTAGTGAACTTTATTTACACTTATTATTACCTAATTAAAAGTTTTCTAACTCTTCCCCTACTTTGTATGAATAGTATGGTGCCTGCCAACATAGCGCTGACATTCAGTTGCATGTCTATGAAAAGCCTGGTCTCTAGCGCGTGTTTTGCCCTACACAATTAATAAAAACATCAACAAAATTGCCTACAAAAAAATGTTGACATGTTGTTTTGTTGATTGTGTAGGGCAAACACGCGCTGGAGACCCAGCTATAGTTAAACAGGTTTTAAAACTTAAAGGTAAGCTGCTACCCTTAGTGCAGACTTACCCTTATTTTGAGGACATAGCATAGCTGGCTAGCTATTCCTGCACAAGGACTTTACGATGGTGTTCTTTCCATAACCATATTCATATTATCATACTATCAAAGTAAATTCTACAGCGTCATGAATGAGATAATGACTGCAGTATACACTACATTTAGTCTTGTTATTAGTAGAACCAGTATGTACGAATTACTAAATCTACAAAGTGTAGACACAAAAAAACAAAAATCAAAGAAGTCAATTAAACATGAACAACGCATTTAATAAGAGTAAAATGTAGTAGTAATTTTCTTCCAATTGAGCAGTAAATACTGTCCATTCTGATGAAAAAAAAACTAGTACATTTTGTATGAAACCTATGTAACAATGGCAGAAGTTAAAGATTAAAATTTATATACAACCAGCGGTGGGATTTTTACATACATATATACCCGCTTGAACTTGCCACTGTATAGAGACTTTTGAGAATCAGAAATAGACTGGTGTTATGCACAACATCTAGTTTATGATTTAGATTTTAAAACAAAAGTAGTCAACACAGCAGCAAGGAACAGTCTTTGTACTGATAATATGGTTGGATGCCAACCACACATAATGGTAGTTATCATCAGGAGCATAATAATTCTACTTTTGAGAAGACAAAGTTATGATACATAATAAAATCGAATCACACAATGAAATGTCAAAATGGAACCAATCCTTAATTAGGGACAATAAAATTAATTTATAGTGTAAGATATGTAACAAGTGTTCCAATTCTGTATAAAACACGTAAATACACTTATCTGGTACAGACTATACCGTTCACATTCAATCGAATTTGAGAACGTTTATTACACCAATTCACAGCAAAATTATTTACGATTCGAATCACTCTTCACAACTTAGATAATAACGGAACAATCACTGGAAACTATTAAACTATTGACCCCATATCTTACGATCACAATTTTTAAAGTAACTTAGAGGCTAGCTCCTAAATCCTATGTATAGTAAAGTTTGCTATTTGACAAGTCCCAAACATGCAGTTCGTTAATCGTCAGTGAGTTATATGAAATAGGTAAATACCAGCACGTACCAGAGCGACTATCGCGGTACGTTTATGTACTAACAAGGTATACAGGGTGGAAACGATAAGTGATCTCACTCGATTATTTAATTCTAAACTATACAAGATATCAATAAACTAGTTACCGATCCTGAAAGTGCTTCATGAGCTCTATCAAACGGTACTAATAATAGGTTACAGAATAAACTGGATCTATCCGAAAATTCAATGTTTCCAGCTTCCATACATTTGGTAAAGTCACATTATTTTAAAAACTACACATGATATCGTAAAACTGATTACTGATTCTAAAAGTACTTCACAAGCTCTATCCAATGGTATCAATAATAGGTTACGGAATAAACTGGATCTATCCAAAAATTGAATGTTTCCTTCTTCCATACATTTTGTACTACCACATTCATGACACTCATCTTTTGACAATTATTATAGCAAGTAAACTCTAAAACCAATATTTTCCATGAATAATTTAAAATAAAAAATAAAAATACAATTTACGAGTTTATTATAAGCGTTTATTATTAAAGAAACAAAATTACACTTCTAATATTGTGTGTCTGGCATACATTTAGTATGGATGCTGGAAACATTGAATTTTCAGATAGATACAGTTTATTCTGTAACCTATTATTGGTACCGCTTGAAAGAGCTCTTGAAGTATTTTCAGGATCAGTAACCAGTTTTTCAATATCTTGTATAGTTTAGAAATAATCGAGTGAGATCACTTAACGTTTCCACCCTGTATAGACAATAGATGCCGTGCCGTTGTAGGAGAGGTATCGCGATAGTCGCGAAGAGTTATGTGGACAAGTTTCAAATGTACAAGTACGATAGCAAAACGTAGGAGAGCGTCCACATCGACGAACACACGTGTTTTTTGATTTTATATAGTTCTCATTATTTGGTACCTCCATGAGTTGCGAAGACTGCACTTCACATAAAATATTGGATATCAAAAAAGCTATAATACTTACGTGGACCATCGGGCGTTCCAACTATAAGTATTAAAGTACAAAAGAAGCATAAGCCTCAATTTCACACTACAATAATGAATTTGTACTCGAGCGTTCGACAAGAGGGAGGCTCTCCAGTTGTATGGGACACCAAGACGATACGATGTGAACTGCACGCGTGAACTGTCACTAAACATAATTAATTATAATGGTGCTACGCTATTAGTACTGATGCCAATGGATCATTTTGGAACTAACATAATGAAATCAATATGTGACATTCCGGCCACCATTTTTGGAGACGAAAACTGCGTCGCGTCTGGTTTAAGGAATAAGTGTGATGGGTCATCAGATCTTCTTAAATCAGACACCATAGCCGTATGAGCCGTATCACGTTATTTCCTACACGCATTGTTAGGAATGTGACAAAAAGGTAAATAATATAAAGCGGTATTGAGGGTCCATATTGTGCAACTGGCTGAATCGTAAGAACTGATGTGGTATAGCAATAAACGATTGAGTGTTAGTTCCAGAACGATCCAGAGGCATAGTTTCACTGTTTCAGCACCCTTAAGTAAGTAGGTGGCTTACATGAGTGCGACGCGGTTGACGAGCGGCGTCTTCCGTCGGTTGGCGGGCGGCGCGGCGGCCGCTCGGAACACGAAACTGTTCTTGGGTCGCTTCGACGAATTCACGTACGATTCCGATAGAGACAAGTCCAGCTTGACTGGCTTCGTCACGTCGATGTCGATCTCCTCGTATGATTGGTCCAGCACCTGGAATATAGAATGATCACTGTGGTGGTGTGTGGAGTGGAATCAGAGATTCTGAAGGCTCGTAGGCTCGTAATGTGGTGGAGAAAATATACCGACAAAGACATTGGGAAGTTGAAACAGCCTTTGTACCTGGTGGATGAGCCGTCAGATCAATTGAGCTACACCAGACTTGTATGGCGACTAATAAAACAAAAATCAGGACACTTTCGAATGATTTAGTACATTTTTGTCCTAATTGCCCTGCATAAAAAATTGGTCGTAACATTTCGGTCGGACATTTATTGCCAAAATAATTTATGCTCGCGTATCAGGCTCATTAACAAACACTGTAATTAGCGTTCGAAAATAAGTTAACTATTAATAACTAATGTCACAGACTTAGCACATGTGTTATGCCAAGGCCGTGAAGGTTCACTATTGCAACGCATGTGGATGGTGTTATTGCAGGGAAGACATGAAATAGTACCGCGAATCCAATTTATCCAACGCTTTCGCAAATCTATGATGCGTAGGCCACGATATGGCGCGATTGCGATATATGGTGGCTTATGAAAACAATGAAAAGTCTCAACGAATCGAATGGTTAAAGAAACTATCCTAAGCATTTTCGGAAAGACTCGAAAAAATCTGCACGTGGCAGTCGATCTTTACAAGTTTTAACACATGTGCAGAACTCCCAGTAACTGTGTAACTATATATTTTTCATTTTTGTAACAACCTAGGATTAAAATGTACACTAGAACTGTTTTGATGTAATATTATTTTACGAAATAAAGATATTTTTAAATTGAAATTGAAAACTAACTATGTCATTACCTCAACATCACTGACGTCGTCGCCAGACTCCACATCCGTGATGTATGACGTGAGCGAGGACGGCCCGGTGGCCAGCAGCCGGTACGTCCCGCCCACCATGCCCGTGCCTTCCACCACCTCCTCCACTTCAAGCTCCTGGTCTGATACCTCCTGGAGGAAACAATTTAATACATATTTTATGAGTCCGTGCTTTCAATCACTTCCTATGCTACTAACTCATGGTCTGATACTGATACCTTTTGAAGGGGTTACCTACACCATATCGAATTACAAATGATCGAAAATCAAAATATCGAACACGTTTCATCGAACGATAAGAATATCGAACGATCAAAATATCGAATGATTAAAATATCGAAAGTCGATCTTACGTTGCATAGTATAATAGAAAGATGGAGGTAAGTGTTCCTTGTTGACTATGGTACCCAAAAGTGGGAAATAAAAAAAATGTGTTTAAGAATTTATGTTTTATTTACATTAATCGTATGACATTTAGTTAAAACCTCTATATTGATTTTTCGATATTTTAATCATTCGATATTTTGATCGTTCGATCATTTGTAAATTCGATATTCTGAACGTTCGATATTTTGAACATTCGATATTTTGATCGTTCGATGAAACGTGTTTGATATTTTGATTTTCGATCATTTGTAATTCGATATGGTGTAGGTAACCCCTTTTGAAGTACATAAGAAATATTTTATGGATAAGTACTATAGTTCACTTTTTCGATGTCTAATTCCTGCGGATACTTCGAAAAACGTTAGCCTAAGTTTCGAATGTTGCCATCCCTCTCACGTAAAGCGATACCGGCATGAGCGACGCGACGGTGACAGATAGACCCGAAACTACATAAACAGGGTTTCCTGGGTAGTTCTCCTGATCTGATACTTCCAACAAAATATACCATACTCACACTTTGTGCTTTAAGATAATTATAGTCATGTTAACAAATCGAAAATTGTGTCAAGTTTCTGGACAAGGAATGCGAAAAGATTGATCTTATATATTGTATCTTAATTGTGGACAGGGAATGGGTTAAAAGATTGCCGTGATCCTTTTCTCCCAACTTCATTACCAGGACATTTCATACCTGTTCCAAAATAGCCTCCTCATCCTCCATCTCCACTTTGATCTCGGGGTCTATCTCGACATCCGCATCGAGGTCCGCCTCGGCGTCCGCGTCCGCATCGTCGTCTGCGTCCGTGTCGCCGCCAGCCCCGCTGTACTTCATCTCGCCGCGTTCTAACGCTTCTAAACTGTCTGTAAACCAACGAATACCATCGTCACTTATTTTAGGCAGTCCGCATTACGGCTAACCCGCCGCGGTTTTCAACCGCGTGATTTTATAGCCAAGTAAAACTAATGCACGCGTCCGCACTGCGGCTTTTTCCCGCGTATACGTTTCGGGCGGTCTCGCGGTTTGGCGGTTTAGGTACCGCTTGCGGGAAAAAACGGTAGTGCGGACTCAGCCTTAGTCGCTGCAGGAGCACGAACCTCTAGTCTAGAGGCAAATGATTTGGGGAGTATGACCCTCTCTAATTTACCAGATGCAAATAGTATTTGGCCTACACTGCTTATGATCAGACAGGTTGGGGATATCTGGTATTCGAATATTTATCACTGACGCCTTTACGACATCCACGGGAATGGAGGTGGTCTTATTTGACTCTGATAAGTTCTTGAAAATATTAGAGGCGATTGGCGATATGGATTAACGCGCATCATCACCTATAGAATATGATAAGTCATGACAAAAGTACATAGAGGGGTATAAAACTATAACAACTTACCAGGATAAACCATAGCCTTTTTAATCGCTTGAGGATCTTTCCTAGACCATTTTTGTACTTCTTCGTCCATCTTTCCAACTTTTGATGGATTCATTGCCCATAAACATCCTGTAATAAATAAAATGATGTGTAAACAATCACTATTTTAAGATTAAACAAGCATTGACTATCGATCAGTTATGTAAATAAAATACCTTTTCTCTGGCTACCATTAGTAGAGGGTTTCTCAATCTTTTCAAAGCATTTGTTTAGACTTAGGTTGTGCCGAACGGAATTTTTCCAGCCGTTTGGCGCGGTTTTGAAGTACGGGAAATGTTGACTGTAAAATAAAGTTTCGCATTAGATACTCAATGCGCATATACATTTATCCGCCCGGCCAATAATAAGAAATTAAAGATAAACTCACCACATGAAATTATAGATTTCTGAGACGGGTAAACTTCCTGTTCTTGAATTTTTTAATGCCATTGCTATTAGACACGAATAAGAATACGCTGGTTTTGGGAATTCACTCAAGCCAACTGTACTTTTGCTAGTATTTACATATTTTGATTGACTTGTCTCAACAGTAAATGCATTGCTTACTGAAGTTTTAATTATTTGCCTATTGTTATTTAACGACGAGTTGTCGATCAATATTGTCGCCTGGTTTTTGTTTCCATTCGCTAAAATTGTCCTAGATTGTTGTGCGTCTATTATGTGTATATTGCCAGATATTATTGTTTTCGTTCCTATTTGTTGCGTTATTTTTTGGTTCGTGTTTAAAATGGAGCAGTTCTTAGTGTTAACTTTTAGTACTTCTGGTTGTGCCTTAATTCTAACAGTGGGTGGAGTGGATGGACTCGACGCTTTAGTTTTGTCCAAGTCTTTTAGTAAGTCCTTAACTACATTTTTTTCGTGTTTGCGAACATAAATCACCATTTGTTTAGCTTCTTCGAGCTTTTTAGGCGCGGGTTCTGGTGCCGGCTCTTGTACTTTCGACACCTTGATAGCATTAGGTGAAAACGTTAAATGGCTCTTCTCTTCTTTTGGACTTGGCAGTGATATGCTATTGTTCGAATCATTATTAGCTACCGATGTTAAGAGTAAATTCGACGCTTCTTCTTTCACGATACTTTTTACCGGAGTTTCCGCAAAGGAGGATGGCATTACAGAATTCGGGTTCACCATAACGGCGTTTGCTTCCGAGCCATACAGATCTAGGTTGTGGACGAAACTTGATGTGTTGTTTAGCCACGTGGCAGAATTGTCTGCCTCAACGTCTAATAGAGGCGGCATTTCCGTAAAATTTAATCCTAATGAATCCTGGAAAAGGAACATTAATGTCATTAGCAGTGTGTTCAAAATCCATTCATATCCAGAAGCAACGTGAGGAAGAACATGAGGACAATACTTACAGAAAAGTCTGTGATACTGCTAAGATCTGTAGCGATTTCATTCTTTATGTCCATGTCCAGCATGTCCTGGAGGGAGTCTGTTATGTACAGATCCATGTCTGAGCACAACTGGAAACAAAATGGCATTTATTATCATTTTAAGGTTTGTTTCCCATTAGGGCTATTATTCTATTGGTTTAACAACTATGCCGAAAAGAGATAGCAATCCGTAAGTAAAATACATACAGTTACAGTTTAAGCATGCCTTTTAGCAGTTCCAATATGTATCTAATAACAATATCAGACCTTTTTCACATTGCTAAACAAGATTTAACTACCTGCTCCTAATACAAAAAAGGGTCTGTTATGCTTTTGTAAAAAAATATACAAAGGTCTAAAAGGATACTCAGATTTGACATTTTCGCGCCAAATCGGTTCACACAAAATGCAAGCGATCGAGACACCACAAGAATGGGGCAGTAACAATGAAACCACTACGACGTAGTACAAAACCTGTTTCCAGTCATGGTATGCGCCACTCCGATAGCTCGGGACGGGAATATTGTTGCGTGTAAGACTGCATTTTCATGCTCAACGTGTTGTAGTTTTTCTATTTAAAATATTTATAGTTATCTATAGATTATGTTATTATTATTTTCAAATGTTATGCTTTATTTATGTTATTATAATGACAAGATGGTGCTATACGAATAAGTTATTAAATATTATTATTATTCGAACTTGATAGACGATATGAAAATGGTACCATGAAAGGTTCCTTTCAAAATATCATGATGAATGATCACTCCAGACTTCCAGTGATATCGAACTATTCTTGAAAGGTGCTTAGGCGCATAAAAAAATAGTATGTAAGTAAACATAAGTAAACAAAAATCATACAATCAAAATCGAAACTAGTCACAACAATATTAGTTGAAAGTCCACTTTCTCTGCTGGGACAAGACCTATACCAACCTACAATTCGTTGTTCTAAGGGCCAACTGGAATTACTAGTAAAAACTCGTATAAAAAACGTACCCGGCATACGGAACGGATCCCAAGTCCCGGTATACGAGAGTTCGAGACAGTGTTTGGTCGGCGCTTTTACATCTATAAATAAACTAGTTTTATAACTACTCCATTAAGTAATAGATAAACAGATACATATTATCATAAAGGTTTGACTATTATACCAGCAATATGGCTTTCTACTTTCTAGTGTTAGGTATTTTGTTAATTAGTCCTGTGGTATTTTTAAAGTAGCACACTAATTGCATAACTTGCTATTATTGCAAGCGAATATTAGGAATTTAGGATAAAGTTCATAGGTACCGAAGTTTTTATTAATATATTCGAATTCAGTGGTTTAGATGTGATTAGATCATAGAAATCACATCCGTTTTTATTTCAGTCAGAATTTTTATCCGTGATTCAGTTAGGTATTAGGTATTATTAGGTTCATTTATCCCTGTGTACCAAAAATATAACAAAATAATATACACCTTTGTCAGGAATATTTTCGTACATAGCTAAAGCAAATCATGTTTAATTATACCTAACTACTTACCTAAGCTAAGTGCAGTGACTGATAAGAAAAGGCGCGCATGATAACCAGTGACATGAACTTTTAAATGGCTTTCCAGTAACGTTTTTCGTGAATGATATAGATAGAATATTGATAACTTGTTTATGTTAGCTATCATCCTACACATTTATAGGAGTGGAGAGGCAAACATCAAATTATATCATTTTAATGATGGACTGCGCCATACCACACTGTTGTTTTGTGGTCATACGGGGATGGATTAGGCTTTTGTTTGAGCACTTATAATTTTCATCAAAAAATTCTTGTGAAAGTTTTCCCGCCAAAGCAACAACATGCAGGAACTGAAAATCGCGTACTGAACTACCCATGTTAAGTGCGAAAGAGACAATGCGGCAGAGGGTGCGGAAACGAGATAGATAGAGATCGTTGAAAGAGGGTGAATCTACCCCTAACCCCTAACGATATTGCCACCACTACAACGTCCCTTTTTAAGTTAAGCAGGCATTTGGCTCGTGTTAAACTAACGAAAATTATTAAATAGAAAACTTAGTTTCTCTCTCCATAGACAATAGGTAAGGAAAAAACCATGAGCTTTTAATTACAATCGTTTTAAAAATTATCATTTATTCCGCCTTTTATGTATGGTAGGTAGGTAGGTATTTTGCCAGTCGAAAAATGTCCATCCGTTTCTTATAGTCGTGCTACAGAGGACCATGAACTCGTTCTTTATTATTTCGAGTTCATCTTGCTTACGAGCAGTATGAACATGAATGACTTACAGACCTATTCGGAATATTTTTAGACGTGATAATATCTCGTCGTAGGTATTCTACGTTTGCTAATTAATTTAGTTGCGAGTTTTGCTAATTATTTTAACAGTCCGACTGTCGGAATTTTATCGCAAGTCTATTTAATTGAAGTAGGTATGTAGGTAGCAAAGAACTACAATCAATCTACAGACTTCTATCAGCTATGCGACTTATTTCAACCTATAGGTTCCGTGTACAGATTAGTCTCGGATAAGTACCTACGGTAGCTTTTTCACAGATAAGTTTTCAGCCTAAGGAGGGAGATCAGTGGGGGCACAGAGGCGCCGCGAGGGGCCGCCGTGTCCTCGAACCTGACCGCGCGCGTTCGCCTTGAACTCGTCGTGGTCGGCTCTTGCGCCGATGGTAGACGTCCGCGTGTACGCGAAAAGTCGACGTCTAGGAAAAATGTAGCATGGAACACAATGCGCCGGCAAATTATTGATATTTGATGGTCTTTCTTCGTAGAAGATAAAAAATCGATATCCCGAAAACACATAGGAGAATTAAATCTACCCCTATGAAGTTTTAAGTCTTTTTCCAGCAGAAATCCTCTAGGTGACAGACATACTGAGGAAAAACGAATGTAAACTTTTACCAAGAAGAATACCTTACACCCAAATGAAAAGTTATTAGGCGCGAAAACACCCCGCGCTCTCCGGGTAGAGTTTTCCAGTTGCGCGCGCAATATCAGAAAGTACAGTATACCCATAAGTAGGTAGATAGATATGTGCTACTCGGGAGGGGTCTGTATTGATTGCATGCGCGGCTCATTCCCCTCGGTCCCTGTTTTAAACATAAGGAGGGAAAACTGATATATTTCACGTGGAATTTTATACCTTAAATATCTGTGAGTAGACCTCTCTGGCTCTACCCAAGATAGGTATTAGAATAGAATTCATATAATCTTTATTAGGTAAATGAGAAATAAATGAACATGGAACCAACTAAATACCTAACTTTGTATACTGCAAACTTTTGTGAGAAAAACCTTCGGTAAACCATCACGTAAGCGGTCAATCACCTCGCGGCAAATGAAGATTAGTAAATGTCGGAAATAACAACCATAGTATAGTAGGTATACCTATTAGTCTCGTCTGCACAAGTAATAAATGATTATAAATTGTAGTGTTCTAGTTTTTTTTTTTTTAAGAATTTAAAATATTGAAATAAACGCGATTTATTTATTTAACGAGTTTTGTTGAAGGTTTGAAGTAAGGGATGAATTATGTCCATTTCTGCTACTTATTTTATTATGATCTAAATAAACAGGTATTTTTAAAATAATGTTTTTAATGAATGGTCTATCCTACCGATAACTCATCCTTTCAATTTCAATAGAATAGATCCTGGTCCAGGAAGGCGCTACACGCAGACCGCTTCCTACCGGGCAACATGGAAGGAAAGCATTGGGATGGGGGAGGCTTATGTTCAGCAGTGGACATCCTAATGGCTGAGATGATGACAGATCCTGGTCTAGGTTAGTAGGTAGGTAGATACGTCAATAGTGGTAGAGGACACCTAATAAGTAGGAGTCAATCGCACGCGCAGGTTTTTCGATAGCAATGTGCGTTTTATTTAACGAGTATTTTTTATTTTGTAATGAAATAATCTATGATACCTACTATTGTCGCGTACCTACCTATTTAGGTATTCAGTGTTATATTATAGTTAATACGTTATTATTCGTGGTGTTACATGAGGGGTTAAAAACTTCCTTCTTCATTATAGGTACCGTACCTATTTGTAAGTGATGTTTATTAACCATGCCATGATGACCAAAACAACACACCACAGTGCACAGGTGCACTAGTGTGCAACGAATACTATTTTATACCTACAAAACCAGCCATAGTAAACTACAACCATTGAAATGTTCACAAACATGCACACATTGACAGGTGGCAGCTGCCTGGGTCACGCACACATGCAAGCGATGCAACGGCGATGCAGTGGGCCTGCTGCACACATAGACACGATGCACTCATTGTTTAACGTTTTGAAATTCTCACTTGAAACCGGCAGCCGTGGGAATGAAATTTCTTTGATATTTCCTACATTTCTTCGTAATTAGCAATCTTTCTAATGAATGATATAATATGATTTTGTAATTACAAATTTGATTAGTGGATTAGTCGTTAAATAATGGTATAATTAATAATAATAAGTACCTAATTTTGGAAAAAACGGACATAGAATGAATAATCCTAACTAACACTAATGGCATGACATTTCGAATCTGAAACTGCAGGCAGATACCTAAGTAGATGTATGTACCTACTTACCTCACTAAACATTATTTATGAAAGTAAGTAGGTACCTAAGTAGGTCTACGGCACTTCTGTTATCTACTATACTACGGTTGCGAGTTCATTGACGGCGAATTGGCGCGTTTAATTTGTTGTCGTAGAAAAGAAAACTAGCAACTAACCTTTATGAACTTAAAACAGAAAACATACATTAATATTTTACAAGGGAAATAATATTGCAATGAATTTTGAATGAAATCCCTCAAGTGCAACAGTCAACACGGTTACAACAAGATTCTCATAAAACTTGCTATCTCTTTTCGTCTTTTTATTTCGTAGTACGGCGTGAGAAAGAGACAAGACGATTTGAACGATGTTGTGAGTCCGTGTCCGTTTATGTATTTTAGGGTTAATTCTCATTATAATCTTTAGTTACTCAATTATTAATTTATAATAACAGTAGGTCATAAAGTAATTAACACACAATTTCTAAATTTCCTCTGATAATACCAAGACGTTATGTAAAATATTTCCCGCCAACAATACCAAAACTGTTAAATACTCGATATTACATAAATCTTAGTCTTTAGCCGGATCAAAATTGGTATTAACATCTTCTTACTTGCTGTATTTCCAGTATTATTTATTTTATTGTAAATAACCATGAAATGACATTAAAAAGAGCGGGACATAGTAACTTGATGGACTTTCCCATTGTTCAAATGTCTTGTTTTCACAACATAGGCACAAAACATGGGTAAACATAATTTTTTATTTACTCACCGAATATTTATTCTCATAAATATCCTTATGCTCAATAGAATAATCCTGAATTTCGCACATTTACGTTTTTAACGTCATTAGATTGACAGATATAACACCACTCACTCCATAAAAACCACAATCTGTTTTACTATTATGCGAAAAGGTACACAAAGAATGGTCTACGCTCTCATTGGACGACTTTGCCCACGTGACTATCTTACAAAACGCGCCTATTGGTGCGATGTTCCAAGAGGATGTACGTCATCAGTCAGTTGACATACTAAAATTTATAATTTCAGTTTTATTGAATCCCAACCTATTTTAGAAAATCTATTCATTTATTCTATTTTTATATTGGTAAAATTAACAATATTCTATTCATAAATAAGACTTACCTCGGATACTTACAATTTATCATGTTCTGTTGTATGTCGACAACATGGCGGTTTGTTTACACCGGCATGATAAGGCGGGAAGTCCTTGCATCGTGTGTGTATTTAATATTTAGAGAGTGCCAATACAAAAATGATTATTTCAATACAAGTAAGGTTTTTATTGAGTAAAACGTTAAATTAATCAAAACTTAATTACATAAAAACGATATCAAAAGGCACATGGGCAATACCACTTTTTATCAACAGTAGCGCCAACTAGCGCCGGAAAGTTGAAACTATTGCTCCATGGCGGGGGAATTTGAATTGAATAACAATAACAATGTCCTAACTCGAACAATAACTAGGTAGTACAGTAAAAATGAGGAAAAATCCTATGTTGTAATAATAAAATAAAGAGAATATTATAATTAAACATTCAAAGGAAAATATAGAAATAACAGCATTAATCTAGATCACGAAATTTACATTTAACCTACTTTTACAGACTTGTGGTACAGAGCAGTAGATATGAACAGCAGAACAAAAAATAAATCCTTAATTTATTGTCATTGTTGACAGTCAACATTGAAGTTAAATAATGTGGTTTCCAATACAACTTACCAACCATAATCAACCAACTATCTCCCTATACTAATTCATAAATGTTATTGTTCAAATATACTTGTAGTAGTAGTAGTCAATTGGCCTGCAACTGTATAATGTTCCTTAAAATTATACAAATGTTATACAATGACTAACGGTGAAATTATAAACAGGCGGATCACCAACACGACCATTAAATACTTAACTCAAAACTTGGACATTTTGGTACTTCTATGTTTTTTGTAACTTTCGTAGGTACCCATTCTCTTAATCTTTTTGCTATACAGATAGTCAGTTTTGAAATTAGAAACGTTCTTTGTTTGCGCTACAAATTTTACTTCTGTGGGTATTATATTGATTTTGAAATTTGTGGTAAATCCGCTACCAGATGTTACAGCTGTCGGTATAAATGGCAGAACTTTAGGCTTTTTGATATTTGCCTTTTGCTTCTTTTCAGTATGAGTGTCATTCAGATAAACACTTTCTTCTAAAAATGTGGAAGGTTTACTCCTGCGTTTTCTCGTGTCTTCCACTATAAATGGAGTAGTTGATACAAGTGATGACTTTTTCATTTCGAGGACTGCTTTTTTCGGTTTATCGTCCAACTGGCTCAAAATAGATGAAGGCAGTCTGCTTATGTGAACTTTATCAAATGAGTTTTCTTTGAATATCTGCAAATAAAATAATATCATTATTATTCCTATTACGATTATGCGTTCAATGGATTTTTGAGGAACCACATATATGTAGAATGTAAATGGGTATCTCCAGACATCTTAAGCATTGGCGTATCTAGTTATTTTTCAGGGGGGTCCAGACATAACGTCATAATATCTACTTTATAAACTATACCTTAGATACGTTATTTCCTTCATCTTCGTCTCTTTCCTTCCTTTTTTTACTCTTCTTTTTAGGTTCGGGATCTGCAATAATGAGAATGATAACATTATCTACTATACTATTTAATAAACTTAAGTACCTAAGCTTTTCTAAGACATTCCGTTATTTACCTTGATTTTGTTTACTGTCCTCACTAAAAGCCAGAGATTTTGTTTTCTTCTTTTGACTTTCAGCAGCAATTTTCTCTGCGTCTATAATGATGAATAATAAAAAATCAAATACGAAATTGTAATTGAAATTAAGCACCAGAAAATGAACATTGGAATCAATAATAAAATAGTTGAAATGTATAGTTTTATGTTTACCTGAACTTTGAGTATTTTCATCATTTTGGGAAATTTTCCTTTTCTTCTTTTGGCTCTCAATAAAAATGGAATCATTTAAAGTTTGTTGTGCTTGTTCTAAAATAAGATATAATTAATGATTAAACATTTGCAACTAGGAACAACATAATAATTTATTAAAATAGTTTGTTATTTACATACCACCTTCATCACGAATTAAGTCTGTGTCTAAATTAGTAGAAGACTTTCGCTTTCGTTTCTTTGAGTTCTCTTTGGGCGTTTCTACATTCTGCACACCTGTTTCTGAAAGGTATTAACATTTATCTAACTACTTTAAAATATTAAAAATGCAATAAAGCCCATCTACGAGGCATATTACACACGTGACGTTTAACGAACAAATAAAAAAATTAAATACGTTACTCTAATGTCAGTTCAGAAATATTGACATTGTAAATCGATAAGCAATTATGAAGCTGTGGGTCTAGACAAAGTGCAAATTATAATCGCAAACCAGTCGAAAAGTGGTCGAAAAGCCCATTTTTTGTATGGAGTTTTGACGTATTCGATTTTCGATTCGATCAAAAAGTGCGTTTTGTCTAGGGGGGCAGAGCCCATTTACTAAACAAAAAGTGCCGCTAAGTAATTTCTATACCGAGTACATTATGTAATTTAATATGAACATAGTCTCGCTGATGAGTTATTATGAGTCGACAGAATATGAAATTGTACTTTTTGTTGTAAAACCACACTTATTGCAGCTACATAAGTAGCCACAGTGTTTAGCTTGATGTACTAATAAGTGTCTGTGCACCACTTAAAAATAAAATATCAATGTTGAAACATACCTTCAACAGATACAGATTCATCAGGTTTAACTTTTTGTTTCTTTTTCTTTGTGCTCCCAATAGAAATATTATGAGTTTCAATGTTTGTGGGTTTTGTTTCTGCAAGAGTAAAATACAATTAATTAGGGTTAATAATATACACATAATCTTGGCACACCCTTTACTTGCTTATTATCGTAAGTTATTATGGGATAATAAACTATTATATTACCATACTACGATTACGATCAAAATTTGTTGATACTATTTTATAATTACTTACCAACTTGGTCATCGTCATGTGTCATAGAGAGCTTTTTCTTCTTTTTCTTTGTACTATCAGCCACTGCTGAAAGGTTAATTGATTTTTCAGCCTCATCAAGTGCTATTTGAGTATTGTTTGCAGCCTTATTTTTCTGTTTCTTAGCACTGCCCATAGATACATTCTTGTCTTCACCAGTACCACCATCAGCTGAAATGTTTGAAAATTAATTTAACGGAATTTTGAATTAATTGCCTAATAGTTTTAGAATATTTAAGGTCTGTTAATAATGCTAGTCTGCGTGGTTCAAGCACCATGCAAGGTCCGTATAAAACATAGCATAATTCAATACTTTAGTAATCATGTGGTTAGTACCTTCAACGGCTATTAGACTGTGGTCTGTACTTTTGTGTTTTTGTTTTTTCGCGCTTCCTATGGACACATTTTTATCCACGACGGGAGTGTCATTACCATCTGTAAAATATCGAATGAATGGTATACTTTTGGACTAAGAGTAGGCGCATACCGTTGATTTTTAGTTGGCCGATAGTTGTGCCCGATTTTAAATTGTATGAAGAATCGGCCAAATCGAATCGGCGTAGTGTGCGCACTCCCATACATGCCCATACTGATCAACTGCCCGACTAAACTATCGGCCGACGAAAAATCAACGGTGTGCGCCTACTCTAAGTGTTGTATTAATTAGTTTATTATGTAGAGTATTCAAGAAGATTTATTTTTTACCTGAACTTTGCTCAGCTTGCAATGATTTTTTCATCTTCTTTTTCTTCGCACTGTTTACATTCAAGGAGATGTTGATACACTGCTCAGGTTCTTGGATTTCATCTGTAATTAAAACTTTTTTATAGGAATGTGACAACATATAAGCTATAATTGGCGTGTGCTCAACTTTTTATCAATAAATTATTTTGAAAATTTTCTTACCCATAGCTGGTTCATCCCCAACTTGCGTGTCTGAAGACTTCCTACCCTTCTTGCTTTTTGTACTTTGATACATGATTTCTTCAGGGGCATCATCATCTTCTGTATTGGTGTTAACTGAAATTAAAGTTAGTAATTTTAATAAATAAACATTTCTCATTTAACAAAATCAATTAGATTATGATTTAAAATGTCCTTTGGTTACCATTTGTTGGTTCTTCTTTAGCTTACTTTGTTTAAATTATATATTGATGAACAATTCTCATTATAGAAATAAAAAATAATTAGTAAGTATTAAACTTTTTCTCACCTATAGGTGTGTCTTCAACGGCAGTTTCCATGGACTTCTTATTCTTCTTCTTACGTTTTTCTTCATTGGGTAAAATCTCATCTTCATTGTTACCCGTTTCTGAAATGATTGGTAATCAAAATATAATTTATGTTTGATGTGATCAATGAGGGTTTTCGCGAATGAAAGATCCGCTAGATGGCGAGACGTGTATGTGGGGTCTGACTGCTGCGTGATTGGTGGATTTTGACATCTGTCAATGTCATGTCAAAAATAACCAATCATGTATAGTTCCAAAATACTGGACTGTCCTGTCGATGACATTGACAGTGGGGCGCCACCGTCAATACCGGATCGCTGGTTCAGATTTTTGCCATGTTGGAAACCATATAGTTGAACGATGGTAGCGCCCCCCTGTCATTGAGTTTGGCGGGACAGTTCAGCGTGGGTCATCTATAGCATTTGGACCTCACGTTTAAGTATTGCCATCTGGCGGATTTTTCATACTTTATTTTTATTTTATTTTATTTTATTTTTATTACATACGCGAAAACCCTCATTGATCATAACATCAACAAAATGTAAGACAATCCTCTCATGTTAAACTCATTGTTTTTCATTTAAAATTTTATACATACCATTGAACATGGAAATTTCGGCATCATCTTTAAATGATACATTATTTTTCTTGTTCTTCTTTTTGTTGCTAAGCGATAGTGAGTTGTTCATGGATTTGTCAGCACTTTTAAGAGTCCCTTTGGTATCAATAATTATATGAATGTCATTGTTATTTACGACGGTATCTGGAATAAAAAGAAAAAATAATCATTTTCTGTTTTGAGTCAAGTCTTTAAAGATTTTGTAATGATTTGTAGTAAATAAAGTTACTCTTATACATAATGGGGAATAGGGAATAAATCAATCAATATTTACTTATTTATAAAATTTCTAGGTACACTTACCAGCTGTCTCTTCAATAAGACCTTTAGATTTGCTCTTATTATGTTTGACGCTTTCATTCAGTTGGCTTTCGTTGGCTTCAAGTTCATCTGAAAGCAAAGGCAAACATAATTTTTAAATAATGAGAATCAAAATTACAAACAAAATATGTATTTTTAAATATTGTGCTCACCATTTTGAGTCAAAATGTTCATTTTTCCTGGAGTGCGTTTCAGGGGTATGTAGTCTTCTGCTTCCTCAGTGTCCGGTGAATCTTTCTTTTTGGGGGATTTTTGGCTGACATCAATATCACAGCTGTCTTCAGAGAACAATAGCTGCAAGTCAATGCAGTCTGATGAAGATGACTCTTCAAACTCGTTCACAGGTTGTTTTTCTTCCTTTTCAGCCGAGTCTACTACATCTATTCCTTCAAGTTTCTTATTCTTTTTGGACTTCTTCTTTGTGTTCGTAATATTAAGCTGATCAATAAGTGGCTGCTTCTTCTGTTTAGTTTTCTTGTCCAGATTGAGAGACATATCACGCGATTTTAAAGTTTTTGTCTTCTTATCATCATTTAGCTTTTTAAGAATGGAGTCGTAATTGTTTACGATTTCTGAACTTTCACTTAAAGAGGACGAATCTTCTTCCAACATTGTAGCCTGCAACGGATCTACAGTATCACTGGATTTTATGATTGACATATTATTGTTAACACACACTTCTTCTATATTATCATGGATTTGTACAGTTGAAATGTTCATGTCTTTCATTGGAGTTTTGGGTTCAAGTTTAACTTGCACTGAAAGAGGATCAGGTTTTTGTAAATTTTCACCTGAGACGCTAATTTCCTGTTCAGTGTTTGCATTCTCATCGCATACAGATTCCGACAATCGTTTTCGTTTCGCCTTCCTTACTAATTTAGAGTTATTAGCATTCGAGTTGTTGAATGACTCTTCTTGAGAAGAATCTAAGCGAAGTTTATTTCTTTTTACAACTGGAACTATGTTTTCTTCGTCAGAAGACTCCTCTGAAGATTCGATCTTCTGACGTTTTGATTTATTACGTCTGAGAGCTGTATCAGAAGTATCTAGCTTATGACGCGCTTCGTACATTTCTCGGGAAGCCTTCTTTTGTTCCTTCAATTTACGTTCATCATACTTCTTCTTAGACTTCTTGCTCATAGTAAGTTCATTATCACTCATAGATAGATCATCTCCAGAGCCACTCAATAGGTCATCATCCTCTTCGTCGGAACTTACAACAAAAGAGTCTTTTTCGTAGTCTGTATCATTAGATACTTCATCGTCAGAATCCAAAGTCTCTCCTTTTTCAATAAATTCATTCTCATCTTCATATTGCCTTTCATCTTCGTCTTGACTGTCGCCCGATTCGTAATCATCGCTGGCTACTTCCGCTTCGTCATCTAGGAAACTGTTTCTGGGCCGAGACGAATCAACTTCATCTTCAGACTCCTCCTCACTCGTAGTTTCTGGTGATTTCGCTATTTGGGAAAGATCATTTTTAGATTTGTTTTGTACTTTTTTGTCTTTACTCTCAATGTTGGAAGTGTCGATTATTGAGCTGTTTATTTGCATACCTAATTTTTGGAACTTTTTCTGTTGCAGGGGAGTACTAGTGGAGTAGTCTTGTGAAACATTTTTCTTATCAATGGCTTTATCATTCACAACATTCACAGGACAAGCTGATTTGTTAAGTTGATCGCTATTGGATTTAGGTGATTTGGATGTGTTGTGTTCAGTTGACGAAATGTCTTTAATTTGAGAAAGTATCAGAGTACTTTTATTTTCAGTTTTCTCTAAGTTTTCTGTAACACTTATTGATGATTTTCGTCGTGATTTGTTTGAACTTTTATTCAAACTATTATCGACTTGTGGGGAATTTGCAACTGATAATGCTTGAACAGTTGGGTTTTTAGTATCAGAAGTTTGATTTAAATTATTTTGAGACAATTCATTTACAGTGATATCATTAGTTTTCTCCAAGTTTTGAGTGTCTGCAACACTTATTGATGATTTTCTTCGTGAATTGTTTAAACTTTTATTCAAACTAATATCAACTTGTGGGGAATTTGCAACTGATAGTACTTGAACAGTTGGGGTTTCACCATGAGAAGTGTGATTTAAATTATTTTGAGAAAATTCGTTCAGAGTGATATCGTTATTTTTCTCCAAGTTTTGAGTGTCTGCAACACTTATTGACGATTTTCGCCGTGATTTGTTTGAACTTTTATTCAAAATATTAGAATTAGCAACTGATTGTTCTTCAACAGTTGGGGCTTTACTATCAGAAGTTTGATTTAAATTATTTTGAGAGAAATCGTTCAAAGTAACATCATTTGGTATTGTCTCATCTACATCCATAGGTTCACAGCCATCATCAATATCTATGTTCTTAGTATTTATTTTATTAAGAGAGAATCATTGTTGTCTTGCTTGTTACTTTCAGATGGACCTGTTATCTGTTCTTCTACTAATTTATTATCAACTACTGGCACACATTGGTCTTCAGTGTCTATTGGTATTTTCTTGCCTTTTCCTTTAGAATCTGTATCAGAATCTTCAAAGAAGACAGTAGATGAAAGAATAGTAGTAGGAGCCTTTTCAAAAATCTTTATGGTTTCTATAGAATCCTCTGGAATGTTTTCTTTATTACCTCGGGGACTGACAGTTTCAGCACCCACTGCATTATTTGACGAATTCAATGATTTATTAGGAGTCTTAGAACCTTTTGATTTTCTTATCTTTGTTGTTGAGAATGAAGATTCATTTTCTAGGTTTTGCTGAACAGATGTGTTATTTTGCAATTCTTGATCAATGAGAGGTGTATCAGTTGATGTGGTATTTAGCACACCATCAGCCAAATTCACAGAATCATTCTTGCTTTTGTCTAAGGCTTGTTTCTTACTATTCTTCTTTTTTACACTCTCATTATCACTGTAAAACATGCCCTCGTCGACATGGGTGTCTGAGGACACTACCAATGACTTTGTTCTTTGTCTCTTACTTTTAAAACCATTTTCAACTAAAGCTGATGTAGTTTTATTCAAATTAGAACTATTCTTTTTAGGCATATTATTCAGTTCTTTGATCAAAAGTAAACTAGAGTCGGATATGTTATGTTTGGATTTTGCAGGAGATGATACACTTTTACTTTCGACAACTTCTGATTCTTTTACCTCAAATTCAGATTGATTTTCATTTGATTCAATGTTTTCTTTAGATGAGCTTCTATTCAGTTCTTCAGCCTCGGAACTTTTACTATCAGTTTTTTTAGTTGATTTTTTTACCACCTGTTTCTTTTCTTTTATTCTAGGGCTTCTCCTTGTAGGGCTGATTTCAGTAGTTGTTTCCGTGCCCTTAACAGTTTCATCAGATTTTACAGAACTACTCTCAGTCTCTTCGATTATGATTTCCGTAATGTTGCTGGGTTTACTTGCTAATGTTACCTCTGAAAAAGAAAAAAACGACTCATAAGTATGAGATTAAATTAAAGTCAGATTCCCAAGACTAATGAAGTGATAATAACAAATCTTACCTAGTTTTTCTATACTAGATGTTGAATCTTTTCTAGTTCTTCTGGTCACTCTAGCAGGAGTTACTGACGATTCACTGTCACTTCCTGAAATATGATAAAAGTTCACTTCACCTGTCACTTGATCACTTCTTGTATACAAAAACCCTGACTGTCTAGGAGCGAACAAAATTGTTAATTGCAATTATAGTCTTTTTCACGTAAGATGATTCGTATGACGTTTCGAGTTTGAAAGTTATAGAGATGTCACATAACTAAACCATAGCGATTTTTCTATCGATTTTTTTCTAAGAGTTAGTAAACCCTACTTTTAGAGAAATATTTTGTATAGGTGTTATTTAACAAAAAACATATTTTTTTTAATTACAAATATTATTGCAACATTTTTTTATTGATAATATTAAAATTCCATGAACTTCATGATCAAAAAAACGATTCCTAAAAAGTACTGGTTCTATTTCTTTAAATTAAAAACTTTAATTTATTTTCAATGCGTTTATTAAAGTCAACAATCGAAAAATATAGTTGATTTTTGTGATGTTTTTAATAATTAAGTATTCACTGCAATCGATTAATGAACCACGGAAATAATCGATTTCGTTATGCAACAAATACCCCAGCACTAAATCTATTCCGTTTCACACATTGCGTACATTAAATAAAAAATATTTTTACATCGTATTTAATTAAAATATAAACAATAGACTCAGATTTTACTACATATTTCAAGACAAGTAGTTAATTATTTTTTTATTATATTGCTAATAAAATACAAATATTTTTTCAAGAATATTCTGCGTATGTAGTATGCGTAATATGGATAACCTTAAAGTGTCATACGGATCATCTTAGGTGAAAAAGACTATAAGTGATAATATTTTTTTTTAGACTTAAACAAAAGGAAAGAAAAAATAAAAATACAATACTAATAAGATATTAGAAGGAAACTCACTACAATAGTTTATACCTAGAAACATTTCCTTTTGACACTTTTTTTAAACTAATTTTACCTAAATATCACTAAGCCTAGGCGCAGACCACCGATTTTTAATCGGCCGATAGTTGGACCAGATTTTAATTTTTATGAAAATTAAATCGGTGCGCACTACCCTACACGCCCATACTGATTAATTGTCCGACTAAACTATCGGCCGACAAAAAATCGCTTAGGCTTAAAGTTCAAAAACAGTTGCCAAAGTTCAACACCAACGTTTGGTCCAATTTAACCCTACAAGACACAAGTTTGCGCGTTCACCGCCAAAAAGTTGCCGTTTGTCGTATCCCGCTGTTTCGAGAGCACTCCCCTAACTGCCTCAGCCAATATCGGAATCCTTCATTTCATCATTTTTTCATCATTTCAGCCATAGGACGTCCACTGCTGAACATAGGCCTCCCCCAATGACTTCCACATCGCACGGTTGGTAGCGGCCTGCATCCAGCGCCTTCCCGCTACCTTTCGTTTGTGGTGGTAGCTATTCCTCCTCCGGGGATTCTTAGCACCCCCCGCCCCGTCGTCACCCCAACCGCTACCGTAGTCAGGAACAACGGGGCTGCCGGAGACTGGGGGCCTGGTTTTAGCTCTGCCGTTCATCAGGGGGGGGAGTTGCCAATACTCGCCACGCTTGGCAGGCGGGTTGGCGAGCGCAGTTTTTTATAAGGTTTCGCACGTAGACGCTGCTGCCCATCTCGTGCTACAGGATTTAGTCGCCTCTTACGACACGCCTCCTGTTGGCGGTGGGGAATGGTATTCTTTACGGCCGTCCCCACACGGCACAGCTAAGCCCTCTGCTAATCAACTAAAACCCCCTTTGGAAATTGCCCTGCTTGATTTTTTGGCTCTGAATAATTTGAAGCAACACAACATGGTTATAAATGATAAGTGCAAGATTTTGGATTTGGTTCTCTCTAATCTTGGTCCTTTGAATGTTTTACGCTGTAGTTCATTGCTTACAAATATTGACCAGTATCACCCGCCTCTTGAGTTTGAAGTGTCTATTAGTAACTCTGCTACTATGTCTTCATGCACCATCTCGGAAAGACCAAACTTTTTTAAAGCGGACATTACCAAAATTAAGTCATATTTAAATTCAATTCCATGGGAGGGCAATCTGGCAGCTTGCAACTCTGTCAATGAAATGACAGATAAGTTTTACAGTATTTTGAAGGAAGCTATCTCTACGCACGTCCCCAAATGTAAGCCTGCCACGAAGAAGTTTCCCCCTTGGTACACTAAGGATCTGATTCGCCTCATACGCGAAAAATATAAACTCAGATTAAATTATCAAAAGTATAAAAACCCCTTAGATGAGCTAGCCTTTAAAACATTAAAAAAACGATGTTCGGACATGATCGACTCCTGCTATCATAGTTACATTTCCAAAATCGAGGACTCACTATCAACCAACCCCAAAAGATTCTGGACCTTTCTGAAAGGTAAAAAAGTAAACAGTAATCCCTATCCTTCTACTATGAGATCTGATGTCAGGGAGGAGTCCAGTGGGACTGGGATCTGCAATCTCTTTGCGTCCTTCTTCGCATCTGTATACAGACCAAGTTTGCCCCATAACACCATAGAGCCCCCAAGAGACACGAGGAACAGTACAGCATCCTCCGCGAGTGGGCGTGCCCTAGAGGCGTGCCCGACTCAACGAGTACACACTAAACAATTTCTAGCAAAACGCACTATTATAGGGAAGAAATAGCTAGGGTCAATCTCAAGTAAGTGACTGTAAATCCTCAAGTGAGAGCCCCCAAGAGACACGAGGAACAGTACAGCATCCTCCGCGAGTGGGCGTGCCCTAGAGGCGTGCCCGACTCGGCGGCGCGCGCGCTCGCGGCGCACGAGTACACGCTCGGCGACCTGCTGGCGCACGCGCGGAGGGAGGACATCGCCCGGCTCCAGCTCAAGTAAGTGGCGATGTCTCAGGTCCATCTTAAGTAAGTGACGATGTATTCTCAAGTGAGAGTCCCCAAGAGACAGACGAGGAACAGTACAGCATCCTCCGCGACTGGGCGTGCCCTAAAGGCGTGCTCAACTCAAAGAGTATACACCTAAACAGAGGGAGGACATAGCTAGGCTCCATCTCAAGTAAGTAACTAAAACTCAGAAGCGAAAGCCCCAAGAGTTAGTAAGTAATGATATCTCAGGGGCGAAAGCCCCCGAGAGTTAGACGAAGAACAATACAATTATCCGAAACTAAGCGTGCCTTAAAGGCGCCCGACTTAATGAGTATACAATTAAAATGAGGGAGGACTTAATTAGGCTCAGTCTCACTCAAGTAAGTGACTGTAAATCCTCAAGTGAGAGCCCCCAAGAGACACGAGGAACAGTACAGCATCCTCCGCGAGTGGGCGTGCCCTAGAGGCGTGCCCGACTCGGCGGCGCGCGCGCTCGCGGCGCACGAGTACACGCTCGGCGACCTGCTGGCGCACGCGCGGAGGGAGGACATCGCCCGGCTCCAGCTCAAGTAAGTGGCGATATCCCAGGTCCATCTTAAGTAAGTGACGGTATATCATTAAGTGAGGGTCCCTAAGAGACAGGCGAAGAGCAGTACAACATCCTCCGGGACGCCTTTAGGGCTAATGGTGCGTCCACACTGGGCGAACGGGCTCGCAGTGAGCAGGATGGCCAGCGTGTCACGCGAGCCCGTTCGCCCAGTGCGGACACCATTAAGGCGTGCCCGACTCAACGAGTATACACTAAACGATTTATAGCAAAACGCACATAGGGAGGACATAGCCAGGCTCCAGCTCAAGTGAGACGATATCTCATGTCCATCTTAAGTATGTGACGGTATATCCTCAAGTGAGAGTCCCCAAGAGACAGACGAGGAACAGTACAACATCCTCCGCGACTGGGCGTGCCCTAAAGGCGTGCTCAACTCAAAGAGTATACACCTAAACAGAGGGAGGACATAGCTAGGCTCCATCTCAAGTAAGTAACTAAAACTCAGAAGCGAAAGCCCCAAGAGTTAGTAAGTAATGATATCTCAGGGGCGAAAGCTCCCGAGAGGTAGACGAAGAACAGTACAATGATCCGAGACTAGGCGTGTCTTAAAGGCGTCCGACTTAATGAGTATACAATTAAAAAGAGGGAGGACTTAATTAGGCTCAGTCTCACTCAAGTAAGTGACTGTATATCCTCAAGTGAAAGCCTCCAAGAGACAGACGAGGAACAGTACAGCATCCTCCGCGAGTGGGCGTGCCCTAGAGGCGTGCCCGACTCGGCGGCGCGCGCGCTCGCGGCGCACGAGTACACGCTCGGCGACCTGCTGGCGCACGCGCGGAGGGAGGACATCGCCCGGCTCCAGCTCAAGTAAGTGGCGGTGTCTCAGGTCCATCTTAAGTAAGTGACGGTATATCCTCAAGTGAGTGACGCAATAAACACGAATTGATTGTTCTTAGAGTGACATAGCTGGGCTCAAACTTAAGTAAGTGACGATGTATTCTCAAGTGAAAGCCCCCGAGAGTTAGACGAAGAAAGTACAATTAGGCGAGACTGGGTGTGCCCTAAAGGCGTGCCCGACTCAACGAGTATACACTAAACGGTTTATAGCAAAACGCACATAGGGAGGACATAGCCAGGCTCCAGCTCAAGTAAGTGGCGATATCAACTTGCACTCGAGAGTGGACGTGTTGTCTGCTACTGAGTGTGATTCCAGCGTGAGTGCGCGTGATTTTGGTATCTACGTAACGTATTTCTAATTGCGATAAGTGCTATAATCCTGTGAATAGTGCAACCATCAAAAATACTATTTCGCAACATTCACGCGCGGCAACCGGCTGCGGACTTGCGGGGCGCCTTACCTCTCCCCCGCTACGATAAGAGACAGCTGCCATAATTGCCGTCCCGCTCAAGCGCCGCTTGCGCCGTCCGTTGGTGTTTGGATTGTTTACTTGCGTAAGAAGCTCCGATTTTGAACTTAATTACAATGAATCAGTGCGCTGCTTGTCGTTCTACATTGACCGATAGTGATCGCATGGAATGCGGTGCCTGTGCGTCATCATATCACAGCTTATGCGTTGCTATTTCCGCTGAAGACCTAGGTAATTTATCGGCTAAGGCTAAGAGGGACTGGCTCTGTCCCGAGTGCCGGACTAGGAGGCCGCGCAGCGATAACTCTAACACTCCGGTTCGTCCATCTACACCTAGCAATATGAATCCCGATGCAAATGTTACTNGCCTTTAAAACATTAAAAAAACGATGTTCGGACATGATCGACTCCTGCTATCATAGTTACATTTCCAAAATCGAGGACTCACTATCAACCAACCCCAAAAGATTCTGGACCTTTCTGAAAGGTAAAAAAGTAAACAGTAATCCCTATCCTTCTACTATGAGATCTGATGTCAGGGAGGAGTCCAGTGGGACTGGGATCTGCAATCTCTTTGCGTCCTTCTTCGCATCTGTATACAGACCAAGTTTGCCCCATAACACCATGGTTGGGATACAAAATATTAACTCGGGTTCCTTCGGACGCCTATCTTTGAGCCAAAGGGAAGTTAAATATAATTTGAAATATTTAGATAGAACTAAAGGTGCAGGTCCCGACGGCATTCCTTCTTTGTTTGCGGCCCAATGCTACGACTGTTTGTCTTTGCCGTTGACCATCATATTTAACGCTTCTCTGTCCACGGGAGTATTTCCCTCTATCTGGAAGGAAGCAAGAATCATTCCGATTTTCAAGTCCGGTGACGCTGCTTCTGTGAAAAACTACCGACCCATCTCTATACTGTCAGTTTTTAGCAAGGTATTCGAGTCCTTAGTCTGCCCTTATTTATCGTGCCACATAAAACACTTGATTTCACCTCAGCAATCTGGCTTCATGGTATCACGTTCCACTGCAACAAATCTCATCCCGTTTGTCCAACTGGTTGCTGGGTCTCTCGACTCCCGTATCCCGGTCGATACTATCTACACTGACATAAGCAAAGCTTTTGACACAGTCGATCACAAAATTTTACTAAATAAACTATCTAACTTTGGCATTACTGGCAGTCTTCTTGAGTGGTTTGAATCATATCTCGGACAGCGGGAGTCAAGAGTCGTCATGAGAGGTTTCTCATCGGAGTCGTTTCATGCTACTTCAGGAGTGCCGCAGGGTTCGCATCTTGGGCCAATACTCTTTAATATATTTCCCAAGAGACACGAGGAACAGTACAGCATCCTCCGCGAGTGGGCGTGCCCTAGAGGCGTGCCCGACTCGGCGGCGCGCGCGCTCGCGGCGCACGAGTACACGCTCGGCGACCTGCTGGCGCACGCGCGGAGGGAGGACATCGCCCGGCTCCAGCTGAAGTAAGTGGCGATGTCTCGGGTCCATCTTAAGTGAGTGACGGTATATCCTCAAGTGAGTCCCCAAGAGACAGGCAAAGAGCAGTACAACATCCTCCGGGACGCCTTTAGAGCTAAAGGCGTGCCGACTGAACGAGTATACTAAAGTCTAAACGATATCTAGCAAAACGCACATAGGGAGGATATATCTAGGCTCAATCTTAAGTAAGTGACGCATTAAACATGACTTGAATGAATCGACTGTCTAGGTGAGACTTGAAGCTATGACCTTTCGCTTACTGGACCTAACGAGTTTGCGCTCAGCGATTTCTAGCATCATGCGCTGAGAGAGGACATAGCCCGGCTTCAGCTCAAGTAAGTGACGATATCTCAGGTCAATCTTAAGTAAGTGACGGTATATCATTAAGTGAGGGTCCCCAAGAGACAGACGAGGAACAGTACAATGATCCGAGACTAGGCGTGTCTTAAAGGCGTCCGACTTAATGAGTATACAATTAAAAAGAGGGAGGACTTAACTAGGCTCAGTCTCACTCAAGTAAGTGACTGTATATCCTCAAGTGAGAGATCCCAAGAGACACGAGGAACAGTACAGCATCCTCCGCGAGTGGGCGTGCCCTAGAGGCGTGCCCGACTCGGCGGCGCGCGCGCTCGCGGCGCACGAGTACACGCTCGGCGACCTGCTGGCGCACGCGCAGAGGGAGGACATCGCCCGGCTCCAGCTCAAGTAAGTGGCGATGTCTCAGGTCCATCTTAAGTAAGTGACGGTATATCCTCAAATGAGAGCCCCCAAGAGACAGACGAGGATCAGTACAGCATCCTCCGCGAGTGGGCGTGCCCTAGAGGCGTGCCCGACTCGGCGAATATACACCTAAACAGAGGGAGGACATCGCCCGGCTCCAGCTCAAGTAAGTGGCGATGTCTCAGGTCCATCTTAAGTAAGTGACGGTATATCCTCAAGTGAGAGACCCTAACAGATAGACGAGGAACATCCTCCGGGACGCCTTAAGGGCTAAAGGCGTGCCCGACTGAACGAGTATACAGACATACACTAAACGATTTCTAGCAAAACGCACATAGAGAGGACATAGATAGACTCAATCTCAAGTGAGTGACGCATTAAACATGACTTGAATGAATCGACGGTCTAGGTGAGACTTGAAGCTATGACCTTCCGCTTACTGGATCCAACGAGTTTGCGCTCAGCCATTTCTAGCATCACGCGAAGAGGGAGGACATAGCCCGGCTCCAGCTCAAGTAAGTGGCGATGTCTCAGGTCCATCTTAAGTAAGTGACGGTATATCCTCAAGTGAGAGTCCCCAAAAGACAGACGAGGAACAGTACAGCATCCTCCGCGACTGGGCGTGCCCTAAAGGCGGGCTCGACTCAAAGAGTATACACATAAACAAAGGGAAGACTAGGCTAGGCTCAATCTTAAGTAGGTGAGTGACGATAAACATGAAAGAGTCGACTGTCTTAAGTAGAAAGAACGTGAATCTACAACCTATCGCTTGCTGGGTCGAACGAGTATACCATCAACGAACTTGCAACACGCGTAGAGAGAACATAGCCAGGCTCAATTTCAAGTAAGTGACGATAGTGAAGTGAAAGTGAATCCTCGGTGACGATGTATTCTCAAGTGAAAGCCCCCAGAGATAGATGAGCTGGAATATCCAAATACTGTACGTCTGTATGAGCCCATAATAAGCCCGCAAAATCGCACGTGAAGCTACTCCCAAATTATCATCTGTCATTCTTAAACTGACACTGGTCAGAGGCCCATTGGCCGATATAGAAACGATTCTGAAACGTCAAGTGGCAAGAATGGCAACTAATAACCCAGTATTGATAGTAGCGCCCTTATGACGACGTCATAGCTGGGACGACTCAGTGTTGGACAACTATATCAGATTGTTAGACGTTAACAGCAACGAAATTCTAAACTCAAATCTTATTTCACAGAGGCGGCGTAGAACTGCGACTATGGCGTGCAATCCTCGACCACCGTCTACAATCCACCACGAACCACCTGCGCCGCGCTAGCAGCACCGAAACAGACATGGACACCAACTCCATAGTAGTAGTCGAGTGCAACCAATGCAAGACTACCCGCAGAACCACTTCAAACAACTCCTCCTGTTCTAACAACCCTACGATTGTGATTAGGGATCAGGTTAACGGCGAAGATGACGTCACAGAGCTGGTGCCGGCAAATGGAGACAGCCCTTGACTATTGCGCGGGTGGTGCACTCTGCAGTAAGGCCAAGGACACACCAGTGTTAGGATCTACGTAAAGGTTTACTGAAATTAATAAATACATTTGTTCGATAAAGTCTAAAATGCTGTTCCATTTGTGCGATTGCAATGGTTAAACTTGTATTCTCCGCACTACGTGACGAGTGAAAAAACCACAGACATGATTAATAATCATGTCTGTGGTTTTTTCATTTTCATTGATTATCTTTTTTTTTTATAATTAATGGGATGTGGATACCACCAGTTAGTAACTGTAACGTAACTGGCAGTTACAATAGCATAGTTCTTGTGGTCTGTCAAAAGTTTGCTTTTCTACGTATTTTGAGTAACTAATAATAGTATTTCTTCTATAAATAAACTAAAGCCTGGTCCGTGAGCACGTAGAATTTTGTCCAATGACCCCAAGCTACCCATCCTTATCGCTCGCGCGTAATTATATTGCGGTCGCGATTGTGCGACGCGCCCCCGCAGTGAGTGTGCAGGCTTTACACGAAGAGTTGGCGTCAAAACAAGTTGGATATAGCTGTTTTTCTAAAATGGTAGAGCGCGGTTTGATGTTACGGAAACCATGAATGGTTGATCAACATCCCTATTCTATGAGTAGATATAACAAGTTTTGATTAAAATTAACTAACACTGGAGTTGTGAAAAAGCAAGCAATGGAAGCAATAATGTCGTATTTACAAAATACGTGTAACGTATTCGCACAAATTAACTTTTTAACACTAATATTTTTATTAGTCAGATACGCTTGTAACGGTAGTGATATGTCAGGTTGTTTAGAAACTAATCACAATTTAGGTGCTATATTAAAATCTGTTTTTCGATTTTTTTTGCTTTACGAGTTGCTATAATACGCTTGGCCTGTGAGTGTATCATCCAAACAGGTTTTTTGGGCTGACTTTGTCTTATGAAAAGGAAATTAGGACTACGACAATTTTTCGTAGATTCTATGTTAGAATAAGTTATGGTTTTTTAGTGATGTTCTCGAAGCATAAAATTGTGTATACACTGTGCAATAATTGACGTGTAACATGTTTCGAAACGTGTGTTTTTCGTCGTTGTTAGTTGAAATTCACGCGTGCAACGTTGCCAGCAATGTTGAAAGTCATTAGCTGCGCATCAATTATTGCCTTGTGTCTGGCTTTAGGTCCATCGGTTGATGCTTTTCGATACAAAATAATGTTGTCCTAATATTTCCAGCAATAAGACAAGATAAAATAGAAGTCAGCACCGTTATAAACCTTGTTGTGTAAATATAAATTGTTATTAATTTGTGAATATTTAACTAGTCTATGTAAATATTAATTTGTTGGCGGATAAGTAGTAATCAACTACGGACTCTCATATTAAATGTTTCGATTCTTCTGTTGAACTTCTATGACAAAAAAAAACACAATTTATTTATAAGGAATTTAAATAGTTACTGTGAAGTCAGATTTGTTAGAACAGGATTTATGCCTAGCACTTTTATTTCTAATGTTGTTGACAATGTAAGTTAAAAGCAATAATGTTAACGTTAGCCTTGCCCAGTTAAAAATGGTGCTATAGATGTGATTGCAAAATAAAAGTGCCTTCAAAGTAGAAACCGGTTTTTTGCTATTTACTGAAGAAATATATTTTATGAAACATACTATTTTTCATACATATTACTTTGCCCAATTATGAAAATAATCATGGTGAAAAATTTAGGTTGCTATCATATTGCAAGCAATATAGTAATAAAACATAGGTTTCTTTCTTATAGTACACATTCATCTAGGGATGTTTTAAATAAGTGTGTTTTATCATATCCACGAAACAATACCTTAGTATATTCTCGTAATAGAGTTGTTTTTTTTTCATATAATTATTGTATATTTTCTGTAAGTGCCATAACACGTACACACAAAGCCTGGGCTTGTGGAAATCAGAACTATTCTGTTCTTTACCTATAACGTGAAAAGATCTGTATTTACGTGTATGTTATTAATTAAGTAATAAAAATATAATTCACTATCACAGTATAAAAGTCTATAAGATATCTGTTAAAATACATTACATTTATGTATGTAACAATTAAATGCTATTGCGCTATTCGAAACACATAATATAATAGTGAGTATGTTTATTTGTTCATCCGATGTGTTTCGGTCTTAGAGAGTTATAAAACGTATAGTCTGTAAGTTTACTTAAAAATGTATAATCAAAATGTCTAAACTTTGTTTATATTTAACGTGTACAAACACAAATGTTTGTTCAATTTGACGATAAAAATATGTGGGTCATGAGTAGAATGGAACGTAAAAAAAATTACGAAAAGAAAAAAAAGATCTTCAAAAAAGGTTTACGCGCTTCTCGCTTACACTGCGTTATTTTAAATTCTTTCAGCTTATTCACTCGTAGTTCGGTCTCGTTCATTACCTTTACATTCCATTTTATTCGTATCCTACACATATTATATTAGGTGTGACCTAATAATACTCATAACGCTGTTGAGAAGTACAAAACTAACGTAGCCTCGTAAATGTATGTATATAAATATTACTTATTTACACTTGAGTAATTATTAACACAAGTTATACAGCTAAAAGTTGCCGCTTTGCTTGTTAAAAAAGTGTAAAAGTGTCTTATATTTAATAATAATATTTGTTAAATACATAAAAAGAGATAAGAGGCTACAATGACTATAAAAATTTATTCTTATAATTACGTAGTCTTCCATTGTTATGTTAAAAGTGTAACTGCTGAGTTAAATTTTAATATAACGTTGTGTAAAATGTATGTTCACTTCGACCTAAAAGTTTAGTTTAGTTATACCGTTGTGTAGATACTGCAACATCACTATTCATGAACCAAAAATTATAAAAAAACGATATTTAAATATTTTGAATATAATTTTGAGAGCAGAACATGTCAAAAATCTATACCTTTATTATCCGAAAAATCGTGAGTTTGGTGCTAAAATACAACCAAGTTTTTTTTGGATCGAAAAAATAACAGATTTTGTGTGGGGAAGAATTTTTTGTTTTACATTTCCATGTTGAGGAAGTTTTTGAAGTTTTCTTTTGTTGTCTGTAGTTCCTGTCACTACGTTCACTTTGCTTGGTTGTGATTGTGACAGATAAAATAGTTTTCGCTGTTTCTAATAACATTGAATGTTAATTGAAATGGCGAAAGGTTAATTATATTAGCAAGGAATTATCAAATTAAATTTCGGAGTAAAAAAGTATGGTGTTCGAACTAAATTGCCGTTGCCTTTTAGAGGTAAACATTTATCAGCACAAAAACAAGTTTCTCAAAAACAAAATCTCAAGTTAATATAAACACTTACCATGAAGATTTTTTATGTACTCGTATCTATAGGTTACAAAAATCCATTACGACAGTTAATTATTATAACGTTTTTTTTTTTCAAATGCAGGCATCGTAAATACCATAATCTGGTATATTTTTTATTTGACTTAAAAATAAAATCCACCTTGATAAAACATAGGTGATCCAAGCCTATTTTCAGTGTCGAATAAATATTATTTAATGCGAATATTTACGCAACGTATCGATTGTTATGTAATTTGTAAAGTGAGTAAGCAATGTAATAAGTAGCTAATAAACAATAATACAACTAATTATTTCTGCATTTCATTTATCTTTTTTTACTTTTGGTTTAGGTATTTCTTTATGGACCATATAATTGCGACTAAACGCGACGCTGACAACTGCTAGAGCTGAACGAACAAACGATCAAGACAGGCTTTTGATTGATTTAAAAAAATCACCTTTCTTCTATTGCAATAAATGTTGCGTCTTTTGGATCATTTTCTCATTGTATTAAATCAAGTTCTCCCAAGGGCTGAGGGTGGCGTTACTCAGTGAGAAGTAACCCACGAATGTTTACGAATACCGACTGCATTAATTTACATAGGCACGCCAATGTATTAACTTATACAGGACGCAATCGCTAATAGTACCTATGATTACTTACGGAAGGGAGAATAAGTAAGTATGCTGAGCTCGAACTCTGAATTCGTTGGAGTTGTCAGAATTTGTTTTACTGGAATACGATACAATATAAGATTTTAAACTTTCGCGTTCCATTTTAATTAAATTAATACGATACAATAGTGGTAGGTCTTGCTGTTTGGAATGCTTATGCCCGATTTCACCATCAATCCCTTTCAGTTTTGTTTTCATAGGGGTCACTTAAAAATTAAGGATTGATGGTGAAAACGGGCATTAGTCCCTTCTTAATAATAAAGACTTACACGACTACACGTGCGTTCTTCAGTAGCTAGTGTAACGGTCGAAAATGTTTTCTGTTTATTTCGTAACTTTATTATTTTTTGTTTTTGAATTTTACTATGATTTCAAAGGGTTCCTTATTACAATGTCTTCCGACTTCCCTTCACTGTATATAAATTATACTACGCAAACAACCATCATACTTAAGTTACCCTAATAAATGTTGACACCGTGGTAAGAGCACGCATCAAATCTAATACAAAGCCATTTTAGTGGGATATTGTAGTGAAATGCTAATATCGTTATTTTGAAATGGCGGGGTGACAGGAGGTTTCTTGACGTTCCCATTAGTTAATACTTACACTGATTTACTAATAAACAATTGGGCTTAGTGGAGATACGCTCTGTATTGTAAGAAGAATTACATAGAAATAGGAAATAATATAATCAACGTTACCTCAATTATTTCGCCCGCCAAAAATTTTCTCTGTCACAGAAAAAAAATATCGCTAGCGTCCCTGTTTCAAAAACCAGGATGAAAACTATCCTATGTCCTTTGCCGGGACTCAAATTATATGACAAATATCATCAAAATCGGTTCAGTGTTTTAGGCGTGAAAGTGTGACAGACAGACAAAATTACTTTCGCATTTATAACTTTAGTACATAAAATGCTTTTTTTAGTTGATAGTCTTTATAAAAAAGCGTTTTAACCTAAGATCGTCGTAAAAATCCTATTTCTCGTTACTTTTATTGCAAATCAATTTCGTCGCTCGTTTTATTTTTACACTGTCTCGGCTAAAACAGTGGGGTGGATGTCTACTCAATTACACAGCGTCTTAATTATATTAGATATTCTCAAGTCTTCGGATTTGAATTTCAATCGCCCTAAACCCAACAGGACAGAAGAATTGTTAATTTTATTACGGACTTCCACGGCCTTTTTAATGTAAATCGCTGTGATCTCATTAGATGATGCTTTATAAGGTTTTAAATGCGGCGTATCTATTTTTGGGGGTGTCTTGCAAAGGTATAGGCAGTTAATGCAGTAGGTACCTAGCACACGAACACGATGTTTTATTTATGAAAATCAGTAGGATCTAATTCTGTAACTAATGGTTACGCGGAAGAAATTTTATTTTCCATCTATAATGGACTTTATTGTTAATCTGTCGGGAGTCAACTAAGAAAAGCTGAACCGTGATTATGCTGAATTCCATGAAAAATAACTATTTAACTAACACATCATTTGTGTAACTTTAATCTTCAATGGTTTGTATTGCAAAAAATTATGTTTGTTCCACGTTATGAATTCGAACCGCTCCAACGCAGCCAAATTGGTTGTTTGTATTCGGCGCATTTAAAATGGCATCACTCATTTACATGCGCTGTATGGATAGTTAGTGCCTACTAATCAAATGTTTGGCTTTACACGGTCAGTGGTTTTGAACAATGCACTCATTTCGATACATATTATTTTGGTCGGCCTCTGAAGAGTTCAAGGATGAGATTATTTATAAGCATATAAGTATAAAGCCGTTCATATAGTAAGATACCTTACTTCCTAAATCTGTTTATCATAAAAGGCAGTCAAACTGATTTATCAACATACAGCTCAAAGAAAATTGGCACACAGAATAGTTAATTATGTACTTGTTGGCATCGACTATTCCTTAGTTTATTGTAAAGTTTTGAGTTAAATGGGAAACAAAATCCAAAAACCAGGAAATCAACTAATAAGGCGAAACTTTAGTGTTCTCTGATCACTATACATAAGATCACCTAGGTGATCTAAGTGGACTTTTTATCCATGGGTGATCAAAGGACACCAAAGTGTCGCCTGGAGTCCACTTTGATCAACTGGGAGAGACCAACGAGAAAAACAATTTTGTACTGTAGCACATCATTGAAATTCAGATGAACACAAATATTTTTACAAAGTGAATGCTTGTTTTACTGAAGTCGTAAATCAAATAGTTATTTGTTCACGCTTTATCGTTAAGATAAGAGCAACAATGTTTCATCTTTATAAACCGTTGTGTTGCCTCTGTTTTGATTACAATCCGACGCAAATATACAGTAAGCGTTTTACGCTTCGCACATGATTCGGTTACGATGGACACAACAGAGATGGAACCAGTAGTTACAGTTCTCTAAGAATATAATATAAGTGCTAGCTACTAATACATAGCTTGCATTGGATAGTCAATATTCTGTTGACAAAATATTGTGAGATGTTGATGTAAGAATGTTAACAAAATATTACTTGAGTAGGTATTTGTTGTTATTGTTAATTAGTAGGTAATTTTACCAATTTTGTAAACGGTAATTACTAAAAGATGTACATAAATGGTGAGAGGCTATCAAAAATCATTGAGGGGAAGCCTATGTCCAGCAGTGGACGTAATGTGGCTGAAATGATGATGATGAACTTTGTAAAAACATGGATTTTTGCTGCGTCTCGTGTCACAGACCCATTTTTTTAGAAACATAATGAAGAAGATCGACATGAATTTTTTTTTTTACAAAAGGCTGTTTTAGTTTGTATCTCTGTTGGATGTTGCGCCTTGTGAACACCCCACCCCAAGTACTCGTATAGTTTTCTAAGTGTAGTCGTGCCGAGCCTACTCTCTCTACACCCACTACCCAAACACAGGCTAGCTTAAAGTGGAATTAAGCTGTAGTTATGTTTGCTTATACGTCGGCGTCTGCTGGCAGTGAACCAAAACGTTGTTACTCGCTTAATGTGGATTTATATCGAGCAAGATCGCTGAGCGGAACCCGCCTGAGCCCTGAGCAATTTGCACCGCCTTACAGCTATGCGAGCCTGGTACCTGCCTAAATTGTAAAGGCATCTCTTATGGGATTTAATTAAAGTGAAATTAGCTATTCATATCTTTCGAAATACTTTTTTTTCAATTTTTTTATCCAATAGTATAAAGAAAAGCAAAAATTTTGAAGCTTTTCAGTTTTTGACAACCAGTCCCTTGCTACACCCTGGGTGTATGATCAAGACATTCAGGAGTTGAAGTGGTAGCCATGACCGAAATCGGTCTGATGAATCATCATCATCCTGATAATAAATTGCATGACAGTGGTTTATGAGTGTTATATCAGAGCGTGGTTAATGAGCCTGTTATTTTGAAAAGAAGAACTCTATTCCTTTTTAGACTAAAGACAGCCACTACTGGAAAAAGGCCTCCTCAAGAACTCTACCTGGGACTAATAAATTGAAGTAGAGATATTTAGTCCTGAAACTATAAATTGCTCTTAATAATTCAAGTGGCATTAGATATTATCTTAAGACTTAATTGAGCGTCTGAAATCAAACAAAGGTCTAAAATATTGAAATCTATTGAATGTCAACCTCATCTTGAACTCCTCGAAATTCTATGAATATACGTTTCACACTCGATTGACTTTGAACTGTTAGTACAGTCTGATTAAAATTCAAAAGTAATTCGAAAATTCAGAAATCATAAGAAATGGGATTAAGTAGCATCTATTCATTAATTCGTTAGTAGAGTCGCTTCAGCCTGCACTAGCTCATTCATTCGTAGAGTTTTTTTGACTTGGTTCAATAGAATTTCCATTAGAAAATGTAATTGGATTGCTTGGCAAATTAGTTGATTTGACAGATAATTCCCATTTAATCTAGGAGGTACTTATTTATTTATCTTCGGGCATACTTATTTAAACTTAAATCAAGCTTTAGGATTTAGTTTTTAGAATAGAGTTTCGAATAAGAATAATCCTATGCTAATAAAGAGCTTTGAATTACCTACAAGCGAACCTGAAATTTAACCGCCTAGTAGCTTTTTGATAGAGATGGGTTATACTAGGTAAATTTGATACTAGGTGCGCCTATTCCAAGTATTTATTAATACGTGATCCAAATACCTGTTCCACTTAGTACGTAGTAATTTACCATACTTGACGCGACTAGTGCGGACTAATCCACGTATTATGACTTTAAAATACAATTTTTTTTGGAAAGATCCACTCGTAGTACCTATTAATAATGCAATTTGAAATTGAATAATAATGTTTTTGCTGGTTGTTGATTGATTGATATCCTCCCTTCATACTTCAACAGGCTTAGGACTGTCAACTTAAAAGTTGGCGTATTTAAAAGATATCAATTTCATAAAAATATTTACATATTTTTTTCTATTTTTTATTTAAATGCAATTATCACGGACGCGTGACAACAAACCAAAACAAACCTGTCGGAAGAATAAAAACTGGTTTTTTACCGGCTAGTCAACAAGGAGTGAGCTGAATGAGAGAGAACAAAAATTAAAATATTCAAAACCTTACCTGTGCACAAATAGAGTTTAAATTACGTAATAC